TAAATTTTCAATTCTAATTTAGGAAACTTACTGATTACGAAGACAGCATGATTTTTTTTGTGATGATGGTTAAGGACGCATCAAATATACATACAATTAAAAAAATGAACTGACTTGAATTGTAAGTTTTTGAAAGGGAACGTTAAAATTTTGAAAGTTTGAATAACTTTCTATTATTAGTGAGCAGAAGAAAATATTAATCCATAATGAATATCATCCATCTATCAGTTATAACAATCCCTTAAATTGTCCATAAACTTGTTTTTCCTGATTTTGAATGCGGAAGGTATTGAAGATGAACGTATACGATGTTTTATAAGGATGTTTCTTCGACGACCTCATCTCATCAATTTCGTAGTATTCTTGCTGCGGAATTTTAAGAATTTTTTCATTCCATAAGTTTTAAGTTTTGAAATTATGGTAGTTGTATTTTAATGGTTTATTTGTTTTCAGAAGGAAATAATTCTATAAAGTAGCTCAAAGGGAAAAGATATATATATGCGTTGTAATCGTATGCCATATGCACGACGGTTCAACGGTGACGGACTCGAAGTCTCAGGAAGTTCGGAGCTTCTGCCCTTTGACAAAGCTTCAACTCATCGTGATCATAAGCCTACTATTAGCTTATTCACTTATTTATCTTATCTATGCACAACATCATGCTATTTTATTTTACATGATGACAGGGTAAGCGGTGGTCGCCATTTTTGCGCGCTTTTCAATTTCTGATAAATATTCAAGCCTCGATAATAAGCTAATTTTTATAAAACGGAATGGTTTATGAATGTTGCTATGAGTATTTTTTAGGAAATAAATGCATGCTATTTCTGAAATGTATTCTGTTAACAATGAAAACGAATTTGTTTATTAAGCCTGATTGATAGGTGTTTAACTTCAAAATAAAAATTTAGAAGGCATTTTAGGCATTTTTATTGGCATTAAAAATTTATAGTCAAGGCAATGATTTATTAAAATTAGTAGGATTATGTTTTCCAAAAGTTCTTATGCAACTTTAGTTAAAGTTTTGTAATAAATGTTTGTTTTTCAGACTAGTAGCTGCGCTTATGACTTTATTGTATACGTCAGGTCTCCTAGCTGTAGGATATATGCTGATAATGATCAGTAAATATGATAAAGAACTGGAACATTGTACGATTACGAAGATTGCTATAACTGATATTAAAGTGACCATAGTTGATCTTAAATCACAGAAATAAATTTGATAAAACCGCTTACTAGGGAAAAAATAATGATTTATTTATCAATCACCTTTGCGTATTTTCACTTAAATCGTGATTTATGAAAATCTAATATAAATAACCAAGTTTTATTCTAAATTATGTTATCCCCTTTAAAAGTTTCATATTTGTAATATATCAGTTTTTCAAATTTATGCTTGAAACTATAAAGATTTGTTGAAATTTGAATGTACAACATTATGATGCAGTCTATACTTTCCTCACCTCTTAGTTCTACCTGTTTTCCTGAAATATACTTTTATGTAAACGTCAATACGTGTATTGTGTAAAATTAAAATTTATAAAATTTAGAATTTTATTACCATTCATTTCGATTGTAATTCACTTTTAATATTTTGATGTTTGCACTGAATATAATGATAAAAGAGTTCATTATACTTTTATCTTTAAGGTATCCACTGATCTGATTTTACTCAATTATTTGAAATGCTTTTCAAGTGAGCAGCACAATCAAATATTGCTATATTCAAATGCATGTGCAGTTGCATCTATTTCATTTGTTGCCTGCATTTAGGCATAATAAAGTTAAGGATATGATTCAAGGAATTCCAGATATTGCCTTAAAAATATTGTTTTAAACTTATAACAGTGTAATCAAAGATAGGACAAACGAAGTGATTGAACGAACTATTATCACATTTTTTCATTTCTTTCATATACAATTGATGTTTTTCAAGTAAAGCAATCGTCCGAAAGATAACGTATGATTGCATTGGAACTTGCAGTATTTTAATTCTAATTTAAAATAATCGCTTCAAAATCTTATAGCAGAATATATCAAAATTTCTGTCAACCTTTTAAAGAGGAATGGAAAAAATTGAAGAGAAAATTTACAAATGATGCGTCATCCTTTAAACTTCCGTAATCATTTCATCATGGACAATGTGATATGATGATTCACAACGGGACAAAATATAAATAAAGTACGTGAAGAGTTGTAGATGCAAGATGAAGAAAATAAGTAGATGCGCATACGCTTACTAGCCATAACTTACAATTATTTGTCAATAATAAATAAATGTGCCTTTCTTAGTACTCTTGCATTGCGGTGCAATTCAGGCAACTATTCACCTCACTAAACTTTGCTCCTCCTTATCATTAACGAAATTAATTTTTGTTCCTTATTCTTAATATTACGAAAGAAACGAAATTAATTTTTATTCGATGAAGTTTGCTGCTGAAAATATCAATAAAAAAAATTAATTGAAATTAAAGAAAATTTAAGTCGGATTATAGAATATTATGAAGAGAATAAAGAAGAAGCATCTGATTAAAATTCAAGTTTATCAGATTTAAAATATAAAGAAATTATTTATAAATGTTACGAAGTTTTTACTGAAAACAATTTCTTATCTATCTGACTTTGGCATGTTTCCAAACAACAAATAAATTTATTTTTCAGTAAATTCAAATGAAATCAAAAATTTTTAATGTATTCTAATACTAAATATTCTAAAAATTTTTCTTTAATTTATTATAAAAATGATCATTTTTGAATGGCATTACTGAGATCTTTCTTCCGATCGGAATGGAAACAAATTTTTTGGGAGGCCGCGCATTGAAGAAATGACGTGGTGAATGCAGCAGCATTTTGTGTTACCTTCAAACGCGGCTGAAGCTAAGACCGTGGAAGCAGCAGATAGTTTATACAGTGATAGAATGAATCACTAAACATACAGTTCGTAACAGAGAAGGTTTAGATTTTGTTTGCCATACAGGAGAGAAGAATATTGCAGAGGAAGTTACTATTATCTTTTCAGTTTAATTGAAAATTGCCGAAGCTTTTACTTCCAGTCAATGATACTCTTATATAATCATTCTATGATCTGGTACTGTAAGGTATCATTGTAACCTTTCAGTTATTGTTGTTTATAGCTATATTGTATACTTTTTTCATCTTTCTTCTCTCCTGTGGTAACTTCTTTATTGTATCATTGATAAAATTTGATTGTCATTCTGGGATCATTATAACATTTTCATTCTTCATTCTTTTATTATAATATTTTAAGTGCTTAAATTTTGCAACACACTGATGTAAATTCATATTATTTTATTAATATTCAATATTCCGTTGAAACCCTAGATTTAATATTTTGTGAATTCATTATCGCCTTAGATTTAATTGTAATTCATTTATAAATCAGTTTGTGATTCGATGGAGAATTTTTTTTTGGAAATCAAGTTCCTGTATCAGTTACTACTTTTGCATAAATTATAACTAAAATCTTCGCATTCCTGAGGAATTTATTAAATATTTAAACTACTATTTTTCGCAGTTGAAAGCAGAATAGTGATTATTTCATTTATAAATAAACTTATGAATGCTCAATTACATCTTAGCTTAGTAAAGAATCTGTCGATTATATTTATGATGAGTGAATAATCACTATTAATCAGTATTTGGCTCCATTTCAATTAAAGTATGATTTGAAAAACTAATTCAATTTTACAGAGAGAACTGAATAAACGATCAAATCGAAGATAAGCAATACAAAAATTAAGTATCGTTATAGAAATATAATTAGGATTAAGACGATATTGATTTCTTTGCTGACGAAGAATTGGAAAAAAGATGAAAGGAATCAATGCAGTATACATATCACCCTTCCTAATTTATTTTCAACAGATAATTTCTTCGAATATAAATCATCTTGGTATTATTCGTAACAATAATAACACTGATGGAAATAATAATTTTAATCCAAGCTACAGAATGCTTCGATCACAACCGAACTCCATTAATCTCGTTAGTTTTTACTTCCTTAATTTTTGTCATTCGTGTTTTTTGTAAAATTTGAACTTCTTTTCTAATTTTCATTCGTCTAAATTTGCAAACAAAAAGTATGCTTAATTGAATTAGCATTTTGTGTAGAAGATAGAACATTTAAAAAAATGGTTAATATTTAATTTTCTCTTTAATTTTCATACTTTTCACGTCTTATTTTAGCAATTTGGCTTTAAAATTTTGTAATTCTTTCTTTAAATTTTTGATGAAATGTTTAAAATTTTTCAATCAATTAGTTTTTAAAAAAAGATATTGTCTAATTTTACTTGATTATATCCGAAAACGAAAAATTTCTAGTAACTTGACTGATAAAATAGATTTGATATATTTACTACAGATAACCATCAACCTTCTACTAGCAATCATTGAGAAGAAAAACTTTTAGAAAGATCTTCAGTGGATCAGGTCCTGTGTATTTGTTATATGAGCTAGTGAAAACTATTTTGGAACTGTCGTAATCATTTCGGTGGTATGCATTGTTGTTGAAACCTGCTAGAAAATTCGAATAACAATCATACTAAAGCTGTTTACTACAATTTAATAGAGAATAATAGAATTAACAGAGCTTCTAAGTGCTAATTCACTCCTTAACAATAGTAAAATTATTTCTTATGAGATTATCATTCAAATGTTGTATTTGTATTACATATGATATTGATTGAATCGAATATGCATGAAGTAAAAGACAAATTCATGGCTGTAACTTAACTAAAAAATAGTTTCTATTTTTTTTAGTTCAGTGAGAATTCTTAAATAAACTTAGAAAAAACTTTTAGACCGCAAAACACTAAAGCTTCAACAAAAAAGCTCGAAAAGTTGCTTTTGCCTTTCACAGCAGAATGCTTTTGTTTTCACATGTATACATTGTTTCGGTAGTTTTGTTTCAGATTTCCCATCCTAGAAGTCATCATTATAATGATCACAGCAATTTTGAAACGATATATCAAAATGTTCAAATGTATCAACCGACAAACCATATTGTAAGTTATCGCATATTTATCATTTCTGATTCACTTCAACTTTATTTCATGTTAATTTGTATTCATCAAACGATATGTTTTTAATTACAGCAATAAAAGACATTATTGTAACAAGCGCTCAGATGATCACTCAATCAGATTTAATAGAAGTTTACTTTTTTCTTCCTCTATTATACCTTAAAAATGCATTATACTTCAGCACTACAATTATGAATCAACGAATATTTCTGAAACCGCAAATGTAATGGTGCAAATACAACTCATAGATTATATTAACCAAGGGCTTAAACTTCCCAAAGGACAGACTTGTGTTTGTCCAAGTGAATTTTCGTGCAGTTATCTCGGTACCTCTGTTCCGCGGTGTTATATGTCATTTACAGTTATTCTACTATTACCAGAGTGAGTTTTCACAATCACTTTATGTTTTCGGTTAAGACTAAAGCCAGAATAAACCTAGAAATTGGAAATCTATTACAAATTTTTTTGCTATCGTACTATTTTGGAAAAGGTGATTAGTATTCGAACAAAAAATAAAAGATTTTTAGTGAATCGGTGAAGTACTTCTCAACTGAATTTATGCCGTTAACTTCTTCCGGAAACATTGATATTGACAGCATGTCACCGCACCAAAAACAAAATTGGCAACAGCTCCGCACTTTCTACCTTGCTTCAAAACCGGTTATTAGTTATAAAAGATTTTGAATATTTCAAACATCTAAATATTGACATTTATTGTTGGAACTATGACAGCTATCAACTATAATTGCTGCATGTATTTTTCTTCAAATTTATAAATAAGTTGTTACTTTAAGATATGATAGAAGAATCAGATGAAAATTGTTGATTAGCAAATTCTTGGGATAATGAAAATGGATTTTTTCACAACTAGGGTAATTGTCAGAACTTTCAGTCAGCTATCGATGTATTCGTTCATCATATGGGTGCCGTTATCAATGCTCATACAGGTGAGCTAACACAGATTCAAACTGTTGTTCACGTTGATACTTTCATTTTACCGTTGAATTCCGTGATACCGTCTGTTGGAAATGATTATTTATCAATGCAATCGAAAAATCTCAATGGTGTCATTCTCCAAACACAGTAAGTTTGACAATTAATGGAACAGGATACGTATCTTCCCAACAAATAATAACTTATACAATATTTGTTCGGGTACTTTTAAATTAATTCATTTCCAGGTTAACAGTTGCATATTCAGTACAGTGTAAGGGTACTTTAATTGGACGAAATTGTGATTTAATTTGCAAAGAAGCAGTCGTAAATACAGCAATAGCAGTATGTCAATCTAATACGACAAACTTTTTCTACACATGCACTTACATGGAAAATGGACAGGTGAGCTAACTTTATGTAATATCGTTTTTTATATTAGCTTATTTGCTTACCAATTTGCTTTTCTGGCAGTATGAAAGCGCTCAGTATAAAAATAGTTATTTTATTCGTTATCTTTGTTTCACAATTTTATCTGTCACTAACGAATGTTATGACATAACAGATACACTAAGATTACCCTTAAAGAGCAAATTACAGTAATTTACATTTAAATAATTCATGCTTACAGTTTTTAGGTCCATAATTGCTTGCCATGTCCATGGGGAATTACTCAAGAATCGTTTTGTCAAAATTCCAGTGGCGGTATTCTTGCTCCTTCTTCTGCAGTCAGTAAATGATCTCTCTTTTTTTGGTTTCGATCTCATCATTGATTTTTCACTTATCGGTCTAAATTTATAATGTTATTCTTTCAAAAAATTGTACTTATTTCTGAATTTCAGAATTCTTAAATCCTCAAATTTCAGGATGTGGTATCATCCAGTTTTAAAGTTGCAACAATAGTTCTTGGTATTCTTGTCAGCATTCTGCTCATTCTTCTTATTCTCGTGACAATCTATTCTATACTGCATGTTTTTTATTTCTTTCTTGAATTTTAATTTCATCTTGAATTTTGATATTTCAATGAACATTTAACTCATCTTTTCCTTCCCATCTCTACCCGAATAATCAAATTGAAGGTTTTGTTGCAAATTGATGGATTCAAATGCCGCAAAAACAAAACAACGAAGTTATTACTGATTAAATTGTTCCAGAATTTGCAAACGATTGAAAGGGGATATACATTCTTACAATTCAGGGCATAATTACAAGTCAACATTGGGAACTGAAGGCAACGCTAATCGTCCACTGTTGCAGGTGAGCTTCGTTGGATTTTTGAAGTGCTCAGTTTCATTTTTATGAATTATTTAGAAAAATTTGGCGTTTCGGTCTCAAAGATTGATTTTCATTAGAGTTTAACAAAAAAAAAGTAGTGATTAAACAAAATTTTACATTTGAACATTGAAATAGTGATAGCTTTCCAGTCAACCAATAATATGCCAAATAATCGAATTAGACTGGCACCAATTGCTGCACCTCGTTCAATTCCTCAACTTGACGCTTTACCAGCTAGTAAGTTCTTTTTTCAATTTAGTTCTTTGACAGAATGTAAGCGAGGCTATCCTACTTTCCAAGTTTTAGCTATCATTTGATCGGTTTGCTATCGTTGTTTCAAGTATAAAATGCATTTTACAATGGATCGGAACATGATTAACAATATTATGAGTCATTTTTATCAGATCTCGCTGAATACTTTTGATATATTAGGACAATTAATGAGAAATTCGATGTTCAAGAGGTCAATTTCATAATTTAAAATATTTTTTTATTACAGAATCATCGCTTCGAAAAGCGACACCATTACCATCGGCGCAGATTTATGGTGCATCATCCCTTAATGATACCTTGAACAGCACTCTTTCTAGTGTACCTTTACCACCAAGTAAGGAAGCGGACGTGTGATTTAATTCGTGTTCACTTCGAGATTTCTGTTATACAGCTCAATTCTCATATCATCTCGCCGTTAAATTAAAAGGTCGTCCTTACAATTTAATCGTATTTCTTATCGTTCTTTAAATAACAATTTATATTTAATAAATGCTTGCCTTTTCGTGAACCATTTTGCTTTATTGAAACTGCTTGTTGACCTTTCTGGTGAAATTATAAACCCGAATTTTAATCTGTGAAAACATAACCATTAACCATCTCATGAAGAAAGATGTGCACATCAAAGAATTTGTCATACCTATTATGTTGAAATAATAGATGACAAATATCTGTCACATTATAATTTGAGAGATGGTTATTTTAGCCAAACATTACGAGTTTACCGTATAATCTTCTAAAAATTTGTCCTCTTAATTTCTCTGTTTTGTCTATTTTTTCTTGGTTCTTTACTTAATTTTCTATGTTGTAGTCGTAATTGTTTAAAGTTTTCATTTAATTTTATTTCCTTGCAGTTTTATTATTGTTTTGATATGTCCTCTTTGTATCATTCAAAAATTTAAGTTCATTGTATTCTTTCTTTCTATTTTCGTCACTTAAACAATGATCTAACTGCAATATCTTGCATAGGCAGCTTAACAGGTTGATATATATTTATTAACTTAATTTGTTCAATTTTATTTTTTGAATTCAAACTTCTGATTTGTTAAATAAGTTTTATGAGCAGTGAGAAAGCATTTATATTCGTTCAAAGCATTTTTTTTAATGTTTGTGAAGATTGTCAGTACGACGATTTTATGCAAATAAAGACTAATTAGGCAAATTTTGTAATAATTTTTTCAACAAATCAGTGGATTTCTTTGCTAATCCAACTGCTGTAATCATCGAATTTATATGAGGCATGAAATTTAAATCTTTATCAGTGATCGTCGTGTTATTATTATCATTAAGGAAAGGAAGAAGTAAATTATTTTCATGAAATATTGAAATTACTGTCAAAGATTGAAATATTGGTTTAATTTAATGAATTAATGATATCTTTATCGGTGAAATCTGTCGGAATCCAACGAAAGTTTATTTTAATTTCGATTTTAGCAATGTTAAAAGTTTTTTGGTTGAAAAACATTATTGTTAATAATGCACAATTAAACTTGCAAAAAGCAGCTTTATCAAAATATCTAACAAGTTGAATAGGTTTTTTTTTCTTCCAATCTACCGCGATATGTATCTCTTGTGCGAAATATTTTAAACAAAATGTGCCAAGTCTAACATTGTGCATGTCATGTTCTATTCACAATTTACTTACATCACATCATTAGTTGTAATTAATTCAATCGTAAGCACAGCATTGTGATTGATAATTAACTAAAATAAATTATTTATATCACTTAGCTCTTTCAATTTTTATAATAATATATCAATTGGAAATTTCGGTTTAACTGCACGAATTATTTATTAATTTCTGATTTATTGTTTACTTAAACTATTTCGACTTAACCCAACTTTACAGTTCATGTAAATGAAAGGAGTAATGAGACTAACTATATGGATAAATAGATAATATCGCTGATTTTACTGCATCATCAAAATCTATTGAACGATCGATAAACTTTTATACACTTTTTCTAGAACTTAAATTATGATTATGAGCTGTATGCGTTGTGTCTGAGATCGACTTGGGATTCAACAAGGTATATGATCAATATGCATTCGTAGTTCGATTCTTGTATTTCCCATGATCATTCAGAAAATTTTTTATTGATTTATGATTTTATCGTGAATGGGAAGAAGTATTAAGCATTTTTTTTTTTGACTCGTTTGACATCTTGAAAACCAAATACATTTCAGTATTGGATAACAACGCATAGATCAGAAGAAGAGAAATGGATTGGAAGTTGTAATTTATTCAAATAAATTTTTAATGAGCAAAAAAAATTGTCAAAAATTGATTCAAATCTGAAATTTTATTTGCACAAAAAAAAATCTGTCACAACACTGATTTTTTTTCGCCTTTTTTGGTAAGGTGCTAAATCCACCTAGTAGTTTTTAAATGAAATGAGGGAGATAGAAAAGAGATGAAAGAAAAAAATGGAAAAGAAGAAATCCTTGCTATTGCCAGAAGATATTCTGTTTCCCGTCGATGGAATTTTAAATAGTTAAAAAACACTCAATCAATCATTTGATTGATATTGTCGTTTGCATGAGGTAAAAAAGGAAAACTTTTATTTTGTTTGCTGGTCTTCGATTCTTTTCAAAGCCAATCATTTGGCTTTGAAAAGAATCGAAGACCAGACCAACAAACAAAATAATTTTGATTGGCTTTGAAAAGAATCGAAAACCAGCAAATAAAATAATTTTGATTGGCTTTAAAAAGAATCGAAGACCAGCAAATAAAATAATTTCTCCTTTTTTACCTCACTCAAATGACAATATTTTTCTTTTCATTTCATGCGATTTTCTATTTTTACAAAAAATGAGTGTGATATTTCCACTCCACAACAACAACAACAACAACAACAATATCAATGAACCTGTTTCTATCAAACGACCCCTCTTCTCAATAATCATTACTTTTACTTTCGAAATGACATGTAAAATTTTTTTACAAATTTGGTGTTGAATCAGCAGTAGTAGTAGTCTCTGCAACGCTAAAAGTCACTCTTCTCCCCTAATAAGTTGAGTTTATATAAGAAATTTTAGCTTCTAACACAAGATTCTGATATTGATAAGCTGATCAGATTTTAAGCTATCATATGAGTATGGACTGGCTAAATTTAAAAATAAAGATTAAATGAGAATTAACATATCTTTTTAAAACAATGAGCAAATTTTCAGTCTACCACATTATTTTTCAATCCAAAATATATTTGTCACATATATTGTCGTGAGCCAATTCTCTAAATAGAATTATTGATTTTGTTTGATTTGTAACAAAGTTTTTGAAAATAACAAACGATGAAAATTAATTCTGTATACAGTTAAAATGATAAATTGGCCACTTATTTGTATAATTGATAGATTTGAAGGGTAAAAATGACATAAATAAAATGCCATTAAAGAATAACTTAACAACGGAAATAATGATATTAACATTGCTAAAAGGTGGCTGAAATGAAGGAAAAGATAAATGATATAAAATGGAGCTATTGTCAGTCCCGAGGAATAAAATTGTCAACTCGAAGAATAAAAAGCAATTGAGCATTGATAGGAATAAATGAATGAACGATGGGAATGATGAATTTCAACAGGTGACAGAGTTTATGTATTGTTTTATGCTATATCTCTACTAATAAAAATTTTTGCATACTAAACATCGATTTTTTCGTCAATTTAAAAATAGTAAAAAAGAGAATTACATCCTTATGTTGAATTATTTTTTTATTAACTGTTAGTTTTTATTGCAAAAATGCTGGGCGGAATATATTTTAAGTTAATTTCTTATTTTATTAATAGTTTCATTTGGCTGAAATAATTCACTTCGCAATGAGTATTATAAAGTGAAATAATGGGAAAACAAATGGAAGCTTATATTCATTGTAGATGGTTTATCAGAAAAATGATAATGGAAATAATCAATGAAGTTTTCGGATTTGAATATTTGGGGTATTAATTTTGATTTTATAACACTTTGAGCTTTCTTTTCATTATCGATGTCTTTTTATTTTCGTCGTATTTTTAGGTAGAAATAAGTTATAGTTAACAAAAGATGAATGAAATAAATTTCCTCTAGTAGAAAGTTTGTGGAAAATTTTTCATTTTTCTTCAACTTCTAAAATTTGTTCAGAATGGAGGATTATTTGAAATTTAACAGAATTCAAGAAAAAAAGAAATTATAATACATGAAGAGAATTACAGGAGTGTATCAGTACATATGAAAGAATATCAAATAATGTTTCTTTTCTCACAACATGCTAGCTTTAGTAAACTTATTTCTGCATTTTTAAAACTGGCAATAATTACTCTTCATTTCTAACACGCGATTCAAAAGGATTTATGAAATTGAAACAGAAAGTTCGAATGCAAAAATTGCTTTATTGATCGATTAGCTACAGAACCAAAACTGGTGATGTAATAATTATGTTTGAAAAGCAAGTTGAGCATAATAAATAATCCAAGAGAGGGTCAAAGGCAAGATAAAGGAAAGAAGAGGGATCTTAAGGAGGGAAAATGCAATAGATGGAAAAGGTTGGGATTGATGCAACGGGTAGTCCTAGTGATGAGAGGAAATAGAAATAGAAAGTGTTCATGAGGAAGGCTAAAAAATAAGGAAGTTATGCGATCTTGACCTTTTGCTTCTCTATGAAGTTTTAGAGCTCAGGTCAGGTCGGAGAACTTGCGATTCATATTCATTATGAACCCATTTCCTTAGCAAGCATTTATGTCAGGTCCTATTTTTATCAAGTACTTTTAGTCCAGAATATACATCATTGTAGGAAAACGCTTATTGGAAGAATTTTTCAGCTTTATCAGATTTCACAGCTTCTAAGAAGATGCCTGAAATTTTCCAGAAAATGTTATACACTGATATCTTGTGATGAATAAACAGCAAAAATTTTATTATTCAAAATTCTTGATAACTTCTTATAGGACATGAGCAGAACAGGATTTATGGCAATCGTCTTCATAATTTTTATTCTTAATGGACTGGTTGTAAGTGAATTTGAAAATTTTTCTGTGTTTGCCGAATAATATTATGAATTTCAAAGCAATAGAACTTGTGAATTCAAAGCTAAATTTCTTATAAAGCGTAGAGCAGTTCTATTTTAATTAAGAAATGAATTTAAACATTTTTATTTCTTTTGTCAATTAAATTGAATTTAAATTTAATCCAAGCGATTCTTGTTTTAGACTAGTTTAATGCGACGATGTAGATGTGAGGAAGATGATGAGTGTCGTGATGAAGCTTTAAATTTGGTGGATAATTGCTCCATTAACTGTGGCTATAACTTAGCCCCGATCGGCGGTAATATACAAGACATGGTGAATTGTTTTGGTAAACAAGGACCAGCCATTCAGGCTGAAGACATTTGCTTAAGACGAAAAATTAATTACGAGTAATTTTTTCTAACTTCCCGCTACTTTCAAAGTTTCGAAATCAATTAATTCTAGGATTTCTCGAAAAAATGCATGAAGGAGCATTATACTGTGAATAGTTTTGTATTAGTTATCGAAATATATATTTTAGATGTGACAATCAGCCTCAGCCCACATTCATCAATAAAACTAACTTCGATAATTTGGAGGTATTTTTGTCAGGAACTTATTTAAAAAACACCATCTGTCTGCAATACTATCCAAGCTTCAAACTGAGTTTTTAATTTTAAACAAAAAACGATTAATATTTATATCACAAAAATGTCCATTGCTTTAGCACACAGCTTTCAGTGTTAATGGTTGATAGCACTAAGTGACTTAAGTAATTATCGTGTGAGGATATTCCCTTTTTAAGTTTATTAATAAATTTCCAAATCCGCTTCTTTTCTTGATGTTAATTGTTTGTTCAGTTTTAATTTGTTCAGGATTTCTTTGCTGTTTGATCCCATGAACACGATTCTTTGGTTGCATCATCTCTCTTTTCCATGTCTTGTTTCTTAAATCTATCCAATTAAATTGCTTCCTTACAGTTCGCATTCAATGAGACAACAAAACCGATTATTGGCTCACTTATGCAAAAAATATATGAAAGTTTAATTGCTATATTTAAGTATAACTATTGTATTAGATTGTGCTACAAGAATATTACAGTCGAATGCTATAAAGAAAAACGGTAATGCAGAAAAGTTTATTTTCAACATTTTAAGTACGATTTTTTATGGAATTTTTTGTTTCTATTATGAATTAGGAAGAGAAGAGTGAAATTTTGTTTGTTTCTTCATCTAAATTTGTCAACTTTTCATAGATAATTTAAAAATGTTTTACTCAAATTTATAAACCATAGATGTGGCTATGATTTGGCGGATCGTGAAACACTGCTCAATTTCATGAAGGATTGTGTTGGAGCTTATCCGCAATTCTATAGTGAACAAATACAAGCTTGTCATTGTCTTCTACATAAACTTCATCTCATGTAAGTTTTTGAAAAGTCAAATCCTTCAGTAGATTTCAAGGTTTCAAACTTTCACGCTTAATGTTTCAAATTTTGCTAAACTGTTTAGATTGGTTTCTTTTTCAGGAAACTGATAGGAGCATGTATTCATATAGGAAATCCATTCCTGAAAGGATTCAAATAGTTGTGATTATCATTTTTTTTTCGTTAATTTTTATTTATTCCAATTGCCGTTATTTATTCTGTTATTCTTGAGAATATGATTATTCTCCATCACTTATGCATTTTTAATTTATTGAATCTAAATGTCAGTTATGTTACTTCGATTGGAAACTGTCGAAATACGTTATCGAAGAAATGTAATATAAGTGACCAGTTAGTCATCTTTATGAGTTCCTCATTATATACATCAGAGGATATGCGCTTTTTATAAACAATACAATTAAGGAATGATTTATTTGTGCAAAATTGTAAATTAAACAGTAAAAGAAATAGATTGAAAAGCAAAAGATAAATGAACTGAAAAAGAAAATGATAGTAGAAGAAAAAGTTTCGACGATTTTCGCTAACATAGCAAGCTGAGAGATGCAGCATTTTTGTGTAAGTTCTTGAACGAAATTATTAATTTCCGAATAAATGCTCTAAAAAATATGTAGTAATTTGGTTTGATATTACAATTTAGTGAATTTAATGAACAATACATCAATAATTGGAATGTGGAAATTACAACACGAAGGAGTAATGTTTATATTCTTTGCAAAAGATTTCATTTGTCAAAAAATTTTTTTTGCTGGTACATTGCCAGAAATTTAGTTGTTCATTTGGCCATAATTCCATCAATAAAATTTACATTAGAATACATCTATTCTAACAATTGATAAAAATTGAAAAAGAGAGACAAGGGGTATATGATATAACATAAACAATTATCAATGAATAATGAAGAGAGATCATGATCTCTGCAAACTCAGCAACATTTCAGCCAACTAATATAAGAAGGTTATAATAAATATGACAATTATTGATATATATTAAAAGTTTTTTCATATTTTTCCACCAATGAAAACAATATATTCACGAGACAATGAAATTTGTTGGCAACCATTTTGGTTATAGTTTGATTATGTAAATGAAGTACGATCAGTTTCTTTTATCGGTTTATAAATTTTGACTGATTTTACAAATAGAAGAAACAGTGAGTGAAAGAAAGAAGAGGAAAGAGAGAATGATCAACATTTCCTATAAAACAGTTAGTTTGAGGAACAAGATTAATCATTCCAAATGGGTTACCTTCCTATCCAGGTGTTTGCAATCAGAATGTAATTTCTCGTTGTCGTAAAAAATTTTTTAAATCGAAATCAGGTTGTTGCATACATGTTGATGAAGTTGTTGTATACGCTGATTGTAATGTTTAATTTAAAGTGCTATTATTATTCTCTTATCAAATTGAATTTAGTATGATATCATTAAACCATGGTAATCTTTATAATATTCAACTAGTTGGAATAATAAAAAAATGGAATACTGCAGCAATTACAAGCAGTTGTAAGGAACCAGTAAAGTATTGAGTATCTCTGAAAGATAAATTTGGGGTTTTCAATGTTGATAGCATAATCAGCAAGTATCAACCGAAAAACTGCCCCATTTTTTCAAATCTATCCTTTAAATTAATTCATTGGTAAATCAGTTCTGTTGAGAATTTAAATGAGCTTAATATAATATATATTTAGTTTATTTTTAGTCTGCAATGTTAAGCCATATTTTTGGATATAATTAGTTTAATTCAATTTTTCACTTTAAAATTTCTCTTAGTTTTTGTATTTTTCCCAATTCCTTTCTCATATCTAACTATCCATTTCTGAAAATTAAAGTATATCTTGTGAATGATTTTGTGATATGATTGAAATGTTTTGAATGTCTCATTTGGTAGTATATCAAAGCCTATCGTGATGTGAAATAAGCTTTTCTATCGTGAATTAAAACCTTGAACCATATTATTTTCTATCAACCTTCGAAGTTGTCGATACGCTAATGTTACATTTACCATTGTATTCGAAATGTCAACATTTAAAATTTTTTAAATTCCGAAGTAATATTTAATAATTCGTCGGAAAAATTATTTCATGATTTCTTTTTGTTGATTGACAATTAACGAATTTGTGTATACTATTTGATATTAACATTGCATTTTTGTAAGTAAATATTTGCTCAGTTGCAGATAGCAGAATTTCTACTATTATCGAACATGCGAATGAACGGTTTCTAGTATGGTTGAACCCAAAATGAATACACAACCTGGCCAATGGTATTGCATATTTCATTTCATTTCATTTCATTTAACTCCCTCCATAGGATGTACAAAATTAATTTTAAGAAAGGATGAAATGTTGTCGCAACACTGTAACAAACAAGAGCGCACATGACTCTTATGCCAATCGATGGTGACCTATTTTCGAGCACTATATGCATAAGTGATACATACCTTCCCCAATGTTAGGTCCATAACGTAAAATATGAAATTTGCAGCAATAAGCTATATACAGTATGTAGTGATAGTCAAAAACAAAACATTCCGGACCAGAAATCATGAACTATTTTATTTATCCGTAGAAAATAAATTTTATGAATGTTAAAAAAAACAATTAATGTTCAACAAATAATCAATTTCCTTCTAAGCTAATATTTACTGATTTAACTGTGCAAATAGGTTTTGCATAAACAATGCATTTGAACGAAGCAATTTAGTAATTTAGTTAAACATTTAAATATGATGTCAGATTCTTATCACATATAACATTATCTGAACTTACCTATAAATGTATATCTTCTCGTTTTCCAATAGTTTAATTTTATTTTTAGTCACAACATAAAATGTTATGACTGAAAATAAAATTTTCATCCATCCTATTTACACAGTTAAATCAATAAATATTATGTTAGAAGGAAACTGATTATTTTTAATTATAAAATTAAAGTATATGGTGGATTGAAATATAACTTGTATAAGTAAGATAAAAGTTAGGTTAAGTTGCATTCCTGCTCTAATTTCTTAAAACTTCATTTAAAGGTGATTGAGCTTATTTTATAATACTTGACAAAAAGCTTGCTACCTGTTTTGTTCCTGGGGCTGTTTACACTCCGATTTTAGGATAACGGTAGTTTTTATGATTTTAATTGAGATATAAGTGCTATGAACAATATTCAGTTTCTCTTGGCATGAACAACATACTGTAAACCAGTGAAAATTTCTGCCCTATCATACTCTTTCATAGGAATGATAGTGAAAATGTCATATGCAAGGTCAATATTTTTTGATAGACTGTCTTATCAGTGATTTAACCTTATGAAGGTCGCATAGATCTTTCTTTTTAAAACCATTCGTTAGGTGTCATGAGACGAAATTGTATTATTACAACAAAAGCATTGATCCTTGCCAAGATAACTAACGCTTTCTTATCGGTATAATCCTTTCACTTATTAGAAATACTTTTATGTGCTTGTTCTTCCTTCCGGTATGTTCACTTCATTCCAAAAATATTGGTATTTTAATTTAGAAAGATTTTTGCGCAACCATAATTAGCCATAATTTGACTATTTTCCTAAACAACTATTCTATTTCAACTATTCGATCGAATTTAATTCACACTTGCAGAAAAGTTGCAATTTGAACGCTGTGATTCAAAATGATTCAAATGCATCATTAATATTTTGATTGCAACAGGCTAAAATTTTTGCAACATTCATCATTTTTTATTTGAAATTACCGTAGTATCAGTGCTCTATCATAATACTAATGAAATTTTTTGATAAACGAAATAAGCTAGCATCATCTATTTAGATTCGAATGTGAATTTATTCAGAGCAATTTCAAAAACTGATTTTGCCAAATTTTTTAATTAGAAACAGAAGAAATCTATCGAAACCGATTTTCTCGCCATAATCAAAATGTAAATATATTTCACGTTTATATTACTGGCTGATTCGAAAAAAATTCCATTTCTCTGCCCATCCGGGTTTCTTGCATGACATAAATTATTTCTGCCAGATGTTTTCCTCAAATTAATATTTCTCCACATCAAAATTTTCAAACTTCTTTTTAGCTGTGGTATATCCTTGAAAACTGAAAGTTTGTTAATTTAATCATTTGGTATTTGGATGGTATTTGCATTTTGAGCAAAACTTATCAGTTCACTTTTTTAACAAATAATCTTTATTATTCAAGCTGGAAATCTTTCGTCCCATTTCAATCACGATTTATTAACCAAATCTTTCATGTTAGAATGTTATCCATTATCATTTTTAAATATAAAAGACCAAGCAAAAATCGAAATCTTATTTAATTCTCGCCTCTCAGTAATTCAGCAAAATGGTATATATCCACCTTCTCAATGAAAAAAACTCCTTTTTTAAATTTTAGTAAACTTTGTTGAAATTTTTTGCTCACTAAATTTTATTCATAAGAATTTCACTGAATGTTTTTGCAAATTAAATGAATCAATTTTCTAAAATTTTTACCGATCAAATTATCAATCATTCAGTGTAAAATCATTTAGAATACGTTCTTTGAACGTTTAAGAAAGGAAATTACGACATGAAAAGTGGGAGGAGAAGTCGGCATGAGTTGTTTTAACATGCGTATGTAAAATTGGTTTGCTGTGGTTGCTTCACGACTATAAATTGTGTACCCCCTCCCCTATCTGGTGGTCCAAGATTGAAAAATTTATTTCTATCTGATTTTTGAACTTTCCAAATATTTCATTTGGTAAGCTGGAAACGACTACTTCTAATTTGTGTACTAAGTATGAATTTTTGCTGTTACCTGTTACCTAAAGTTATGAGGTCATTTATACAAATATTTTTTTCGTTAGTAAAATCATTAATAAAATTTGCTAATAAATATCTATCCATTTCATTTGATAGTTTTTTATTTGATGAAAATATTTTCCTTTCTATCATTCATTATAATATATACAACATTGAAATAAATGCTCACTAATCAATACTGTTAACATTCTGTAATAAGCATAATGAAAATTATTTCAAAATTTTATTTCTCTAATAATATTTAACAAGTTTTAATAATTTCTATCATACTGTTTTTTTCATTCAACTTTTGTGATAATTAGCAAAAAAAAAATGATTATTTTGTTTCATTATTTTCGATCATTTTCTCATTAATTAATGTTATTTTTTAAAAATTTATTAATTATAGTTATAGAAATATTTCCAGCTTACCAAAAAAATGGCAAATAATTTTAGCCATTAACTATTATCGCTCTTTTTTTCGGAAAGTTTTACATATTTTAAAAGCTAAAATGTCAAATAGTTTGAATTGAATTTTGAAAATTTTAGTATTCAATCCATTTTGAAAGACACAAATTTTTGGTATGCAAAATTAATATAATATTGTGATGAAAACTTCAAATGGTCCGTTGAAAACTTAATTTTTTACTGATTTCCTTTCTATTGTGGCATAAAATGATGTTAAATTCGATTTATAAAGTTTTGTCGAATCATTTAAAATTGTTAAATTATAAAGAACAAAAAAATATTAAAGTAATTTGTAAGGAATCCTACGACTTTTTTATTTGTCTTAGCAACAAAATTTGACTAAAAGTAAATTCATAAATTTCAATGATTTTGTTATATTCCAAATTGCTTAAGAATTTCAACAAAAGAAATGAAAAAAGAAGCTATCAAAAAGTGAAATTACACAGATTATTATATAAGTAATTTACATGTTGTTTGTTTATTTATTTACTTGTTTATTAAAAGTACTTGGAATAATTTTAGTAACAAAGAATTATTTCATATAAAAATAAAAGTGTAAAATATTTCTGCATGGTTTAAATAAAATTAGAAAAAATTTTGTCGAAATTTTTGTGCCAATCGAGTAGTATTGAATAGTAAAAAAAAATAAACCGGTTAAAAAAGAGGCGAATTGACGACGATATTGTAAATGAAGGATCCTAGTGACATCTCAGACGATACCTTTCAACTATCATCTGGTACGATGAAGAACACAGATTGGCCATTATCCAATTAGCGTCCTTTTTACCTTAATCTTATTTGTTCTTTTGATGAACTAACACATTATCAATTACTTAGTTTTGCGTTTTGCGTCATTTTGTTCTTTACCTTTTTATATTTCATATCAGACGAATTAGAAGAAAATTTAACAGTGCTGAACTATATTGTTATTCTTTGTAACATTCAAATTAGTTTTCTCTTAAAATAATCAAAAATTATTTGTTTCTCTAAAACATTGCAACCATAGAAAAAGCTGTCTATTTTCTTTTTATTAAGGCAATCTTTTTAAGTATTTTGTCCTATGAGTTTTAAGTGGATGAAATTTTAGAGCTAGTTTATCTAATCAATGAGAAATGAGTAATGTTGTAGGAAGATCAAACAAATAGAGCAAAGAAAGTGATTAATGAAAATCCAAAAAGTAAATTGAAAGCAGTAAGTTTGACTAGAATCTGTGGCTAGTGTTTTAAAGTTATACGAATAAGCAAATGCTATCAATAAAATCGTTTATATTTTTTTAAGGAGGGGGCTGTGGCGGAAAGGTAGAAGCTTGATGAAGAAAGAAATTCTTGGGGAAGATCAGTCAGCTGTGGCTAACTCAAAAAATGATTCTGCTGCTGAAACGAGGTTTGTGACAGCATTCTTTGCCTTTCATAATGACAAATAGTTTTATTCTACAGACTTAAAAACGCCAAATACTAAGTATCAACTTTCAGATTCTATCTTTTTCAAATTCCACAATTAAAATTTTTCGTTGTTTTCAACAATTTAAAAGTTTACATTCATTCTGCATTGAGCATTTCAAATCTAAAACATTTCAGTACTTGAAGAAATAAAAATCAATGAAGTTATTTTAAAAAAGTGCACAAATTTATTTTACTTTTTTAAATTTATTTAATGTTCGTCATTTATTTGCCTTGAACTTTTCATTCATTCCCCTTAAATAATTAGAAAAATTTAATTGTCATAATCTTAATTTTTTCAGTAAGTGAAAGTAAAATGCAATTGTATTCAAGACAATTGACATGAATGTTAAATACATGAAATCATGCATAAATATTATCGTTCTCAATTTTAATTTCATGCAAGCTTCTTGCAGTTTAAATGCAACTGGTGCACATGGAGAGGTTCGACAAGAGAAGAATAGTCGACAAGGAAGTGTTGTCATTGGAGTTGAAAAGGAAGGTTGTTTCTCTTCTCTTATCATTGAATTAATTTAAATGTTTTTAATAAATGTGTTGTAATCAAAAAATCTTGGATGATAAGGATTAATTCTTGCATCTGAACTTCTTGTAGATGATTTTCGCCGTTTATCAATGTTGTGGGATTCATTCAAAGCTAGAAAAAGCATCTGCGGAAATAATTTGGCTTTGTTCGAAGAGCCAAGTGAACCTTTCATTAGTTCCTACCTCAAAGGTTATACAACTCCAGGTCCATTAGAGCGTGCAAAAAGTAGACATGCCAAGGTAAGTAATACTTGTTTGTTCGGATCTTTCAGTTCTAAGAAATTTTAATCAATACTTCGCATAAATTTCACAAAAAGAAATTAGGAAAATTAGAGCATATAAAAATGTTTAACAAATATGCAGTCATCATTTTATATAAATTTGTCGGTAGTTATCATTTTCATCAGTTTGTCGAATAATTTTTTCACTAATTATCACTATCATTACCATTATTTAATCAGAAAGGAATAATTTGATTACCTCAGGCCTTTGTATTTTTAGACAGAACTTGGTGTTATGCTGGGTGTTTATTTACCAACAATCCAGCATATTCTTGGTGTGACCATGTTTATACGTCTTTTTTGGATGGTGGGTATCGCTGGTATCGCTCAAACCTTCATTATTTTGTTTATCTGTTGCCTTTGTGTTAGTAGTTATCATCTTTTTCATGTTTTCAGTAAATTCGGTTAAATTTAACAAGGTTTTATGTTGCGCTCAGTTTTGCACCAAATCGATTAGTGCTTATTTTATCTACTCTTTCCTTTAATTTTATTTTATTCACTAATTCTTCAAACTTCCATTAAATTTCTTCATGAAACATCATCATCTCCCTGTCTATTTCATTTCTCAACAACTAATCACTCTCTTTTAGCAGCTTCCATTACTTTTTTCTATTATAAATAAAAAGTAAGGGTAAATGATGAAGTGTAGAAATCACAGAGCAATAAAATGTGGTTTTAGCGATATTGCAAACTCTACTTCTTTTTGTTGAACCATAGTCGGTCTAATTGTTAGGACCATTTACTCAATTTGAAATTTTTTAAGAGAAATGAATTATTTACAGACATTCCTGACCAGCATAAGCTTATCAGCTATAGCAACAAATGGTGTCGTAGAAAGTGGCGGTGCATATTTTATGATTTCACGAAATCTTGGACCTGAATTTGGTTCAGCTGTTGGCATACTGTTTTATTTGGCTAACACTGTTGCCACAGCGATGTATCTCGTCGGTGGTGTCGAAATATTACTGGTCGAAAAATTCTCCTTATAGTGTAGATAACGTCACTAACGCTTTAAACTTTTTATCTAATTTCGCGAAAAACTTAATTTTTTAAGCAAATTTTTATGTTTGTGAATGATTTGTAAATCTTATATTAAGAAATTTCAAGAATCTATGAGACGAAGTATATCATCGAAATTTCGATTTAATTTCAGCTTTACATATTTCCTGGTTTGACAATCGGTGGTACAGAAGTTCATTCAGATACAGGTAATTTTTGTAACATAACGTTGAAAAATTTATATATAACAAGCAAATATTGCGCCCGCAAAATAAAGCTTCCAGGATTCATGGGTTGTATGTCTCATAACTTGCGATTTTACTCTACCATTTTGTTGCTATTGGAATTTGCAATTGTTGCGATGGGAGTTAAATTCGTCCAGCTCTTCGCACCGGTGAATTTTTTTGCGTGCCAATAATTTTCTCCCAATGTGCTAGAAATTTAATAAATTAAAATTTATTCAGAAGATAAAAAACAAACCTCCCAATTTTGATTTTAATTTACTAATTAATTAAAGGTTTCATTATTTTGTGTTATCTTATCAATCTTCGCCTGTTACGCTGGTGGAATTGAAAAAACGATCACATCGTCTGGTTCACAGCAGTATGTTTTCAGAATTTTAAAGAAAAATTTGCCATGAACTAATCTGCTAAAAATTCATTTATTTGAATTGAAATAATTAAGTCTTGTTTGAAGCAAACTTTAGAAATATTCCACTACATAAAGTTGACATTGTGACAACAGATAATTAGCAATAAGCTAATTAGAACATATAATAAGAAGAATTGAATCCAATTGAGAACTCCTTCGAATTTCTAAGCTGTTTGACATTTTGAATAAGGCTGATAGCTGCACTAAATAGCCTATAAAAAATTTGACGGCGATTTTTGCACACTTAAATTTCTTCACACCAAATTTCGTTTTCAGCAAAGATTATGTTTTGCACACCAAGTTTTCATCTTCAGCGAAGATCAAGCGATCGAATTTTGCTTGAAATAAAATTTAGACTTCATCCATTCTTTTTCTTCATACTTGTAAATTTAGTGTATGCATGTTGGGCAAACATTTATTACAAGCACGGGTTGTTTTACCTGCTGACGCTCCACTTTCGGATATTTGCAATTATTGTAATGCTTCCGTATCGTTAGTTTTATTTAGAATTTCAAATGTTATAATCTTTTCTCATATTTTCATATGTGAGTATGTGATCTTAATTCGCTGTATTTGGAAAGATTTCTTTATTACAGTGGACCGTTACTAAATTATTTTTGTCCAAATGGTGAATGCTCCGAAATGTTCGTAAAAAATGAATTACGATGTGTTAATGGTTTCCCGGGATTTGGAAGCAGCGCATTTATCGGTAACTAACTCATAACAATTGAGATAAAAATTAGAATTTCAATAAATATTGATGATTTTAATAATAAAAGTTCTTGTAACGATAAGACAATATCAACTTATTCATTGATTTTGGAAAAAGTGTTAAATTACAGATAACTTGGGACCAAATTATGTTGGCAAAAATGAATATCTGAAGGGGAAATTAGCTAATCGAAATGTAGAAGTATTCCAAGATGTTAAAACAACGTTTTTTGTATTACTTGCTATTTATTTTCCGGCAGTTACCGGAATTCTGACCGGTGCTAATATGAGCGGTTCGTTTTAATGAAATGATTTTATCAGTCATTTGAACTGAACATTTTAGTATTAAATTTATGTTTGATTGACTTTATCATTTTCAAAACTGCAGCTAAATAATCCGTTGATAAAATCTTACTTGCAGGAGATTTAAAGGCACCAAATTTTTCAATCCCATCTGGTACTATTACCGCTCAACTGACAACATCATTTATCTATTTCTCGCTTGCTTTGGTTTTTGGTGCGACGATCAATGGTTCTGTATTGCGAGACAAGTTTGTTTTTTTTTTGTCTACTTTTAATCAAAAATTAAACTTTATTGAATTCAACCTTGAAAAGTTTATATATCAATTGAGATTCTTGAGAAATATTTTTCTATTTTTATTTTGAAATAGTTTGACTTAAAAAAACGAATTTTAATCGTACAAATTTGTGCAGATATGGGCAATCATTACGTGGTGGCATGGTCGTTGCCAATTTAGCTTGGCCAACAGAATGGCTTTTATTGATCGGATCATTCCTATCGACATTTGGTGCTGCTCTTCAATGCCTTTGCAGTAAGTTTGTTCTTTCAATTGGGTTGCACAAGCATACTTTAAAATTTTATTTTCAAACTAATTTTTTATATTCAAATTTTTTTATTAAAACTATATATCATATTGTAAGATATTGAAACTTGTATATTTAATATCATTATATGTTTAACGTTACAGAATTTAGAATTACATTTTCAGTTTTTAACAATTGTAAAATCTGTAAGAATAAGTTTATGAAATCAACAATACTTAACCTTGAAATCAAGATTTATTTAATTTAATAACTTTATATAATTTAAATTTTGCAAAATGAATTGAAAATAGATATTCTGGAAGAATACTGTAAGATCATTAGTAACTTACAAAATAATTATGATAAGTTTTGATTTTTTTTGAGGTGCGCCACGTCTCCTGCAATCAATTGCTAAAGATGACGTAATACCAATTTTAAAACCATTTGCTAAAGTCACGTCCAAAAATGAGCCATTTAAAGGGTACATATAATTTTATTGTTATAATTATTTTATAACAATGTTATTAAATTATCACTTATCAGTTGAGACCAAGTTACGTTCAAAAATGAATCATTTAAAGAATTAAAACCTAAATAATTGATGTCAATATGCTTAACACTTAAAATGTAGTATTTTGATAGGTTGGTGATAACGACCATAATAGCAGAATTATCAATACTAATGGGTGCAATGGATCATATAGCTGCTGTGGTTGATTTTTTTTTCCTGATGTGCTATGCATTTGTGAATTTAATCTGTGCATTACACTCACTTCTCGGTGCACCAAACTGGAGACCGCGATTCAAATTCTACCACTGGTTAGTATACAGACTGAGGAAAATGGTTTTATAACTAACCGCAAGAAACCCAACAAAAAGCACTCATTACCGATCGCAAGGATCGGGTAGACATAACACTATCAAACATATTCTTAGAAGTTTTAACAAAAATAATAAAGTTTAAAATGCCACATCGACCCTGAACTTCTTAGATTAAACGCCTGGAACTATCAGTTTTTCTCAGCTGGCTAATCATATTTTAGTGCCTGGATACGGTCCTATTCAGCATAAGTTGTAAAATCATAAAGTACTGCAATAACTTACTAACTAAGCAGTTTTATCTTCGTGCCGTAATTTTCAAGAATTCAAAGTTTAATTTGTTGCTTATTAAAGAATATCTTCATTCCAATAATATTTTTAATAAAAGTCTTCGTTAATTCTGGAAATTTAAACTAGGAAATCAATAAAGATTTAAATTCCTAATTTCAGGTCTCTAGCATTACTTGGAGCAGGACTTTGTTTTTTCATTATGTTTAGCACTCATTGGGATTACGCAATTGTTTCCTGTGTACTTTGTCTTGTCATATACAAATATGTGGAATGGAAGGGGTAAATTATTACTTTTTTCCTCTCAATTTAGAGTTAGAAACAAAAGAGAAAAAGGAAGAATTGCGGAATTGGAATATTTTTGGGCACATTTATTTGCATACATTAAGTAATTATAACTTCCATCAAATTTGTAGTGCTAAGAAAGAATGGGGCGATGGAATTCGTGGTTTAGCCCTTACAACAGCGCAATATTCATTAATGAAAATTAATGAGACGGATCCACATCCAAAGAATTTCCGGTACATTTTCCTGTTATAATTTTTAAATTTTGATACTAAATTTTATATTTTTAATTGCACACCACTGCATTATAGCTATTTCATCTAATTAAATTTCTAAAATAATTTAGTTGCTACCTGTGATATAATTTTAGACCACAATTATTGTTGCTTTTATCAATGCCATGGTCCAAAGATCTTGTCGATATGCGCTATTTGAATTTGATCAATTTAGCATCACAACTTAAAGCTAGTCGTGGTTTAACCATTGTTGTCGCATTTTTACGTGGCGATCCTCTGGTTATTGATGATAGGAAAAGAGCGGAAGAGGTATGTATATTCGTCGCTTATAATTGAGAATCGAATTGTTCTGTGGTTTGCATAAATTCGATAGGAGAATTTTGAGTTTGAAAGTTCATAGAATAGCCTTTTTACTGATTTTAAGAATGGGATAAAACTAAAACTTTAATAAATTTTCGTGATTCTAAATAACTAAAATAGGTAAAAGCACGAATGGAATTCGATATGAATCAAATCAGACTTCGTGGTTTTGCAAAAACATTGGTGTATGGTGAAACACAAGTAAGCATAATTTTTTTTATGTTATCACTCTAAGAACCATTCAGTCATTTAATTCAATACAGCTATACTTAGACCTGGTCATACTAGTACTTTAAACCGCTGTTAGTGGCTATCAGCAATGAGTCACTTGTTGTATATTCCATAATGATCATTTAAATTAAGCTAAAAACCTGATATAGATTGGAGGAAGTGTTTCAACGTTGATTCAAAGTGTTGGAATAGGTGGATTACGACCAAATACCCTTCTGCTAAGTTGGCCTGTTCACACGAACGGTTCTTCGCGTGAAGCTATTGATTCGGAATATCATACATTCACTGGTAAATTTGGTCTTAATCCAGTAAAAATTTCGTATGGTTGCTCAAAATTTTTATAGAAATTTTTATAACTCAAAGAAATTTTAGCACTTTTAACTTTTCCCAAGATATAGCAAAATTCATTCGATTCTCAAAATTTCTAAATTTATAGATAAATTGCATGTTGGTGTTGCAACAGATATGTGCCTCGTTGTTGCCAAAGATATTGTTAATTTCCCAGTTTCGGCTATTCGTCTTGCTGGAACCATTGACGTGTACTGGATTGTACAAGATGGCGGTTTATGTATACTTATCGCTTACTTATTAATTCAAAGCAAAGTATAGTTGTTTCAAATAAATCTACGTTTCTATGCAGATTTGTTAAATAAGGCAAATTTTTGAGGACTCGAAGTTAACATATTAATAATCAGTTGTTACTTTGATTAATAACTTTTAGAACTTCCGTCTTAAAAATTTGGCAATCAATATGAAGATGTATGTGATAACTTTAAAAATCAGCGGTAGATTTCTATTAAAAGGTGTGGCGGGGATGCAAACTTCGAGTGATAGCAATTGCTCAGGAAACGGATAATAATACAAAGCTACAAGCAGATCTTCAGAAATATGTTTATCAACTAAGAATTGATGCCAGAATAATGGTAAATCAGGCGTATTTCAACTTGAAAATTTTCTTTTTGGTTTATTTTATGATAATTTATTTGGAGTATAAATATGACAAAAATTTGACATTGTGTTTAAAATTCCAGTTTTTAATAAAAATTTAACTTTTTAATTATAATGAGCTTGACAAATTTTGTTTAATTTTTATTTAGTCGTTTGATAAACATCCCTGAATTACAGTCAATAAGTTGAAGATATAATGAATGAGAACAGGGAGTTTTAATTTAACCAAGAAATTCTAGAATTTCAGAATGCACTTCTAAAAACTTTAATTTTAAATTACTTTAACATTAAAAAGTATATTTCCACTAACCTCCATTTCCGTTTCATAAGATTTTATGATATATTATTATCAGGTCATAGAACTATCAGATCCCAAAATTTCAAAGAATGCTTTCGAAAGAACACTTCTTATGGAGGAAAGAACTCGATATATGCATGAAATGTATGAAATGAAAAAGAATTTAAACAAAGTATCGGTAAGAAACATTATCTTCTGAAAGTTGGCTGAAATTTAGAAATAAAACTTATTTTAAAAAAAATTTGAAACATTTAGCCTATGATGATGACAGAGATGAAGCAAAATGGTAAGCTGAATAGTGATGATAACGACACAGACAGTGAAACGAAAGGCAAGACTGATGATAAAAATGCTGATGATGATAATGAGAAAACGCCGACATCGTCAAAAGAAAAAGTATCAACGCTGAAGAAAGCAACATCTCCAGAAAAAACGCACTCAAATCATGATGAAAAGTAATTTCTCATATTTTTGTCCCCAATTAAGCAATTTTTTAAATTGTTAAATTTCTTTCAAATCTTAGTTTCTGATTTCTCAGTTATTTACCAGTTTTCACAGTTCTTCTGTCACCAAAGCAAATGTAATGGGCTCGAGTGTTCAATGAGTCACCTACAGTTTATTTTCATATAAATCCCTCTGCAACAGGAGAGTGACAATAGCAGAATCGAAGAATGAAATTGTGGGAGGAAATGACAATGACGATCGCAATAAAAAATTCAGGATGCTCGACAAAAAAAAGGTATGTACTAAGCTAAGTTAATGAATTACTCTCCTAACGTACCTACCAAATTTATGATTAAAATACTGTTGAAATAAATTCCAACTTGCAAATTTTGTTAACTAATTACTTGCTAAATAAACCCAAAATTTTCACTGTTCATTATCAAAATAATGAAGTTAGCTATCGAGAATTTTGCAAGATGCTGATTGTCGCAAATCTATCTGAACTGAGTGTTTATTTTTTCAAAGTAAAATTAAAGATCAATTAATCCTTTAGAAAATTGCAGGTGCGCAAAATGCACACAGCAGTTCGACTGAATGAATTGATTCTTTCAAATTCTGCTGATAGTCAACTAGTGCTGCTCAATTTACCAAAGCCTCCAGTTGCTAAAGAAGGTATGTAACCAACCACATCTAAGTAAAACAGACATACATGAAAGCGGAACTTCTCATCCTTTCATATTGCCTACTAAAGTGTACTTTTGAATATAGCCTAGTTAAGGATATACGAAAACTAAACTTTTTTTGTTTCATGCTCAAAATTTTTACAAGTTAAACTTCAATAACCAAGCAAATTTTTAAAAATATTTCAGGCCTTGATGATTATATGCATTACCTTGAAGTATTGTCTGATAAAATTCCTCGTATTTTATTTATACGAGGAACAGGCAAAGAAGTTATTACGACATATTCTTGATTCTTTCAGTTTTTTTTCTTTTTTGTTACTACACATTTATTTAAAGCGAAAAAATTATTTTATTTAAAGCAAAAAATTAATTTGTCTGACCTTCCTTTCCTCTCGAAAGGCGCAAAATGACTCCAAAAATAGGATTCTAAAGATATGCATGGATTCCGTCATCAGAATTTCGAAATTTGACAGGATTCTTAAATTGCAACAACAACAACGGAGATATAAAGCTTTTGAAACTTTCTGTGACGAAATGTTCACTTACTGTACATAAGCTTTTTATGTTGTATGCAATATTCATGATATCTTGTTTAATTACTAATTAGCAGATACTAACCCGAAGATGTGTCTGCATTCCAATTTTGCATATTTTGATTAAAAAGATTGTAATAATGTTGTAATACGCAATTGAAAAATCTTTGTAATTCAACAATTACGAAATGCTATTTACGAACTTTAAGGCCTCGAGAAAATTTTTGAATTCAATTAAAATATAAGAGAAATTCTATGAATTCGAAACAGAAAAAATACAGGCAATTTTGAGCAAAAAAAGAATGCGAATACTTCTGAATATCTGAATACTGCCTGCCAGTTTCTCACCATATTTTTAAGCGAATAACGAAACCTGCTACTTTCATGGCATCAGATACGAATGAACTGCTAAAAAAGATTGCTGAAGTTAGCGATTAATCTGCACAGTCTCCAACAGTTGCTTAGCCATTTGCTTAGTAATAATCCACTATAACAAGTCAGTAAATTAGGATGCGGGATGCTAATTAATCTAATTGTGCAATTCTAGATTATTGAAAAAACAGGAAAATTCAGGCCTTTTAATTTCAATCGGAAATGTTGTTACTTCATGTTTGTAACACACTTTTTGCTTCAAAGAATCTCTACATTTCTTTGAAACATAAACTAAGTAAACTTATAAAAGTTTCATTCAGTGGAACTGAAAAGTTTTAACCTCATTGTACTGACTTAAAACTATAGAAGCCTAATTAACATCATGATGAGAACGCTAGAAGAATCACAGATATTACGATCATGGTTTGTCTTAATTCTTATTGCTTCCAAGCGAAAGCGCACCCCATAATCAGTGAATTTTCTATAATGCCTGACAAGTAAAATATTAATTGCCGTAAGCTACGCACTTACCCAATGTTTGATTATCTCTTACGACGACAAAAGTCCACATAGGAATTGGGTTTTCTCAATCGTCTTTTTAAACTTTTTACTTTAGAATAGAAATTAAAGGAACATTTTCAACGGTAGGGAACATTTGAACATTTTTGAAAGGCAATAATCAGTCAAATAATAGCGTCATTAATTCTATTTTTTACCTGCTTAATCAAGAAAAGCAACATCTCGAAGCTTCTGTTATTTTGAAATTTAATTTCGTAAAGAGCTTTTTCCCGGAATGTCCAGTTTCCTTCCTTTGTAAGCTTAAAATTCTCATTGCAAATATACTGAGTGCTAACAAATGCTGAATAAGAATACATTTATTCTAAGTGCTATTCTCAAAACAAGTGATAGCAGACGAAATATTCAAATTTTATCATTATTAGTCGTAGGTGATGAAAGAACTTCATGACTAATAACAGCATTTTGGACTGCACTACTATTTGACTGACTTTTTTCCTGTATTGCATCTGCAAATTTTTGAATTAATTACGACTTTTCATCGAAGAATTCTCGCCACATAATAAGCAGCCTAAGAACTTTATGCACAAAATAAGCCTTCAGAGTATGATTTATATAGGTTTAGTTTGGAATCCAAAGGCGACCAATTTTATAACGAGTATAAAATACAAGATTTAAGAATGAAATATTACTTGTATCTTTCACTCTGAAAACTTGTTCAGCAACCCTGAAACTGACAACTTATTAATAATGGATTTTCAAAAATTAAAGTCTCCTACCTGAAGATAATTTCCGACCAACAATTGCATCCTAAGCTAAAACAATAAAAAGTGATACTTTAAGACGCTGATCCTTAAATCAAATTTCACAGCAGGCATGCAAGGCATGCATGTGCTCAAAGTGATAAAGTCAAATGACAGAGATGGAGAAAAATTTAAAAAAAGTTCCACATCCAGCATCTTCGGTGAAAATAATGAAAAACTCACAAAACAGTTAACAGTAAAACAAACCTTATTTGATAGTGATGGATTGGTGCTGCAGCAAATGGATCATTTTCATCAATTTCTAAATTTGCATCATTTTCCACCGTTTCGCCTTAAAAAAAATTAAGATAGAGTTTTTCCAATAACAATTGGCTGAAAGATGCACGACCTATTGTGAACAATGAAAGCGAAAGTAGATTAACCTTAGAAAACTATTCAACGGTTCCCGACCGCTGCGTAAGTAGATCAATCGTAAAGCAAAACGAAGTTAAAATTACTCGATGTGAAGTATTTTAAATGCCTCGGCAATTTGTCAAAACAATGTCCAAAACTACGATCATCCATTGTAGTATTGTGCAAAGTAACTGAACTACGTCTTTGTGAGCTGAATGGTGCAATTAAGAATGGATTCCATGATACATCATCATTCTGAAATCACATGCTAATTTAGTTTGCTTTGCCGAAAACACTTGAAAGATTAGAACCGAATGTCGCAAATATATTGCGCTAAACAAACCTCCACTGGGAAATTTTCAGGAGAAGAAACAGTTACAGTCACTGTCTCAAAGGGTTCAACTGTAAATCCTGCAGAGACAACTCTGGTATTGTTTTCGCTCGAAGCACTGTACGGTCTAAAAAATATAAATTCAACATGTCTCAATGATGGACGGACTTATGATAAAGAAGATGGTCAAAGAGTGAATTTCCTGGTGGTGAAGCAATTGAAAGAATTGTATACGTCAGTACACTGCTAGATGCCAGTTATGCTAATTATCAGACCATCCCACTTGATTAATTAATTAGCTGGCAGATTTGTTAATAATGCATAGAGTCTGATTTCCGTTAGTCAGTATCGAATATTGACTTTAGTTCTCATTTTTTGGATCGTGCTAGATGATGTGTACTGCCCTACATAATTATTTTAAAAATATGAAAACAGAAAACAACTGTTACAAAAAAGCAGTAATGAAACATCTGTAAATATAAACATGAAAATAACCTGAAAGCACTTGACTTCAGAGTTTCAATACCGCATTCTTCTGCAATACCGCACCATTTATGTGAAGATCCTTGATAAACAAACAGTCTTGAAATACCAGGTAGGCCATTTTAATTTATAATTCAATAGAATATTGCATATTCCCGCCCGCTTTTACACATAAGTCTCTTTTGCGTACAAAAAAAAAAAAAAACGAAGAATTACGAGATCAGGAACGTAAAGTGAACAAGTCAAAACCTGTCGTAAAAGAGGTGAAAACAAGATTGAGAGGATTAAGTGAAAATTATTCCGCGGTGAAACTTGGTCTAAATTAACCATATTCATATAATTATAATAACTAATAAAATTTGAGTACCTGAACGCGCAATACCGATTTCTGGATAAGATGAACTGTTTTGTTGTTTACCGATTGTTACCTGCAAAAAAAAATCAGTGATGTGGTAAGAATACAAGAACTAAGTTAAAACAGCAATGCAGTAGAATTATAAAAAATGAGAAACTAATTCTATTTACATCTAACAAACGTGAACTGGAATCGGCCAAATTCAAGCGAATTGCATTGCTATATGGCTTCGGTCTCAATCTTGGATTGATGGAAGTAGCTGTTTCCTTCTGTGCAACACGGCTATCAAAATTAGTAAACTTCGATGTACGTGCTGACGTACCCGCAATTGCTGCTGCATTGACTTCTTGTTGGCGCAAACTTCGTACGGCATCAATTAGACACAGTGCTGGAACTTTCTGAAAAATGATTTCTAATACAAGGAAAATTGGTGCTATAAAGCAACCCTGTGTGAGCTTAATCTTTTCAATATTTTCAGTAACTTTTCGAAACATAACATTACTTGATCTCAACCAATATTTGAATTCGGAAAGTGATAGAGATTGTGCACATATTAGCAGAGAATATGTGCACAATCTCTATCACTTTCCGAATTGGCGATTATACCCACTAACTACGGAAATTAGCCTCAGATGTTCTCAAGGAGCCGTCATATTAACATACATTTAAGTTACCAATCGGAGAGCACTGTCCAGCAGCCTCAAAAGCAAGAGTTGAAACTTGATAAATATCTGGACGACGAACAAGATCGGGGTCAAAAAGTACCTCTAAAACTACAATGAATAAATCAATTGCCTACATTTCTTTAAATTTTTAAATTCTTTGACCTATTTAGAAATGTATGTGTTAAAGAAAATGTATACAATTCATTGCCTTAATTTCCTATTTGTCCACCGTCATCGTAGCTTAAATCATTAGGACAGTTGAAAGTTTCATATCACTTCAGAGTCCAGATGTTACAGAAAAACAACATATATTCCGTAAATAAGCTGAAAACTTTAATCTCAATAAAATTAAAACTTACTTATGATCGCACGTAATTCATCCGGATAGTTAGGCTCAGTCGGAAAATTATAAGAACAATTTTGAATTGCAAGCGAGCTTTCACCAAACGGAAGACTGAAATAACAGAGTCTGTAAAACATGACACCAAGCGCCCATATATCAACCTTTGTGCCTGAAATTCAACAAATAATAAGGTTTTCCGATAAAGTGCAAGTACTCATATGTAATCACACTTAATCAGGTAAGACGAACCAATAGGCTTTCCGGAGTAAATATCTACCATTTCAGGAGCTCGATATGCTAGTGTCGTATAGCGATGAATCTCCTCCTCAATAAATTGCAGTGATTGTGTTTCCGATGACAAGACCTTCAGAAGAGAACTAGTGAGCAGTTTTTCTTTACATTTCGTCATAAAAACTTAATCTTTAAAATGCTAAGTCAGTTATTAACTAAAAATCTGATTGGAGTGTCTATTAAACTACAAGATACACTAAGCTCTTTGGCAAAGAACACCCATTTCTTAAAGAATGAAAGAGTCGAAAGATTCAACTATTTTAAGAACGAGGGATGAATAAATAGTTAAACAATGCAAAAAGTAACCTTTGTCGTGGCGCTTCCGAAATCGCACAAAACATATACTGGTGCACCACGACGATGTTCATCGATCAGAACATTTTCAGCCTTTAATTCTGTAGTAAAAAAAACGAAAAAAAAAACAAAAAACTTGGCTTGTCACTTTCTATTCCCATATTTTTGCACAGAATGAATCGGTAATAATAAAAGGAGTACCTTTAAATCACGGTGAATAACTGGAGTTTGAGAATGATGCAATCTCGCAACTGCTTCACATACATCACAAAAAATTTTCAAAATTTCATTTGCCGAAAGACATCGTCCCGCTAAATGTCGTTCATTCATCAGCTGCAACACGCTACCTGAAAAAAGCAACAGTTTATTTCTAAGCTAACTTTACAGTTCTATGATAAAGAAATTGTGCAGTAGGATCAATTTCTGAGAAGTGCTGAACGAATCTGTTTAAATAACAGGATAAAAACTAAAATACTTTCAGAGAAAGCAAACAAACTTTTATAATAAGTAGTAAGAAGTGAACACTCGTATACACCACAATTATTCTTCAGTATCATATGATCTATATACGATACAATATTTTTGTGTCCCGCCAAACAACTCTAAATGCAAAATTTAAATAATTGACCACACATATAGAAATTATATTTCAGCAAAAGATGGAAGCTAGATTTAACCTTTCTTCTATAACAGCAGCCGATAATTGCGGAAATACAGCGCAAAGGAAATACCTAAGTAACCAATGTGCTAATTTAAACTGCAAATATTTATTAATAGCTCATTTGAAGCACCATTTCATGATCATCCCGCATTCGAGTAATTAAACTTTTTCTACTAATTAAGTGGCAGTAAACAGTGTTTTAAATAGAAAACGTAAATATCAACGTAAATACTATGAAAATAAAAAAGCTGCTTTTAGTGGCATTTGAAAGTTGGATAAGCTGTTTATACATATATACTCATTTTAAAGCCAACAAACTTCAATAGTGAAAAACTTACAACAATGCGACATTCTCTTCTACATGCCTCCAACTGCCGAACATCATCACTAATAAACTGCCTTTTTAGTGCATAATGACGTCCCTGCTTATCGCTTGCCAAATATACAATCGCAAATCCACCTGATTGTTAAGAAAGTGGATGTTGAAAATATCCAATAAAGGATTCCATAACAGAATTTTATTTTTTACCTTCAGCAAGTCTTTTGTCCAAAGTCACAGTGTGATTAGGCAGTTTTACAACTGATCCCCGCCAATCTTTCCCATCAGACGTGCCGGTATTTCCTGCAAAAAAAACATTCTGATATTAAAATGTTTTGCGAGTAGCGAAAAACAATTCAGACAGATATAATAAATTAATGACTTAATAAACTAATGAAGTATTCTGCAGATTTTAAAAATAAAGTGGTAAGAGAAGGAATTACTCCATGAGGTATTAAAAACAATGGAAAGTATAATTGTTATTGGTATTTTCTTATTTTTCTCCTACCAAGTAAAAATTACACTTCTGAAAACTTGCCAACATTTATATGAATTTTACTGGCTGTTACTGTTACACAAGAGTTTTTGGAATAAGTGCGTCATTCACTAGATGCTAGAACCATCCGCTCCAAAGTCTAAGCTCTTGGATTCAAATGGATTCCTGGATTTCAATGGATGTAAAAAAGCGAAGGAAAAGGAGTGACATGAAGCACTTAGGAATACGAAACATAAACCTCTAGATGAGTTATCGAGCTGTTGTGACTTCACACCTCCGGCACCTATTCCGAATAAATTCAGTGGCATCTGCTGTTCTTAGTGGAACAACGTCATCATCAAAAACTGAGACAACTCCTTTTTAATCCATTCCTTTGATAGCAATAGAAAATCGACGCATTAGAAACACCAAGTTCAGAGTCAAACGACATAAAATTCAGAATTACAAAGCGCGCGACTCCCGCAATTCGAATTTATTTAGTACCGAACATTTAAATCAATATTTCTACTTCAGTTATTATACAAGTGAACAGCACTAGTTTCATAAACTCTTAATATTTCTTATTCTGCAAACTTCTGCCATCCTAGCAACAATAATTTCGTGAATTTTCCCTTTTTTCAACCAAAATTTGCTCGTATTCTAATCTTTTAGTGATTCCGGCGTGAGAACAATTTCACGATGTTCAGAATCATTCCGTATCTTCAACTCTTCACCTCCAAACCGTTTCTATGAAAATTAACAATTTGCGCATTTCTCCACTCATGGATAAAAGCGAAAATGCGTAGCTGATTAGAAAACAGCTCAACTTAGTTACCGATCACTTGTTTTCGTGTTGAGACCGGATTGTTTAGATTTTGAATGATGAAAGAATTATTCGGGATTCGTTTCGGGTAGAATATTCGAGAAATATTAACAAGAAAAGGGATGTTCCGATGTATTTCTCAACCTACCAACGCTCCGGCGCTTATTTCTGGGATGTTTTGTTACAGATAGTTTCTTCAGAATGTGAAGTAATGATAGGCTATGTGTGGTTATCATGCCGGTCTGTAGCAAATAGTTGTCTGTGTAGAATTGCAATGATAGGGAGTGACGATGAGTGATTCTTCCTTCCGGGGAAATTCCGATTTATCGACGTATGTTAATATAAGGTCAGTTAATATTTTGTTTTATTTGTTCAAAGTTTTGAATGTTCCAAAGTTGCAATATTTAATATATGCATTTTTATGGAAAAACACTTAAAATTTGTTCTGAGAATTTCGAAAAGTATGAATTGTATTGTATGTTCGATGGTAAATATGTGTACATGTCGTATTTAGATTTAATTACGTGACCAATTTAGAGGTGATTAACTGTAGTATAAATGTCTTGATAAATGTCTTGAGGAGTGACAGAGAATGATGAGAGTAATGAAATTGATATCACGGATTCGTCGAAAATTGAAAATCAGATGAGAAAGGGACATACAAGAATGGATGTGAAATGGGGAAAGGCGACGATTGACAAGGAAACAGATAAATATGATGTTGGTATGGTTTCGTTCGGAAGAACGCCGAGCGATGTGGAGGAGGGCTCTGAAGTGTTGGGACAGAAGCAATTCAAACCCGTAAAGCAAATAGATTTAAAATGGTGACTTAATAGCTGTCTCACTTGGTCAACTCACCTGGCTGGTTACTATTGCACAGTTTAACAAACATACACCGGACTGCACAATCCTACGTAATCATTTCTTCACATTGCTTATTTGCTGAACTACCATTCTCTCTGTTATACTCTTTCGCGTTTGCTCAGGCTGAAAAGTTTGATACTTCCGCATTACTCCTTGGGTAAGCGCCTTACTTAAGTTCAAGTTGAATGTCAAGTTTTTTGGTTTTATTAATAATCTTCTCTGAGTGTTTCAATTAACATCTTTGTTCGTCTGATCCGGAAAGAATCGACAGGAACACAAATGTTAAGCTTTGTACCATATGAGTTTTTGTTACCCACATATAATTGTCTTAAACGTGTAGCTTACAAAGTGGAACCTCCTGAAGCTTGATCATTTTTGAGTTTAACTTAACTGAGGACACTATCACTGATCGCTTCAGAAAATGAATTTGAGACTCTCTTATTATAAAGCTTACAGAAAGAAATTATTTTATTACAGATAACTTTTTGCTGGGGTGATTTACCTCTAACCGAACAAGAACAGTTTCAAATGGAACACAGTACTACTGCGCAAGTCTTTTTCCTATATGATTAAAATCAAAATATGCTGAGTCATTAATTGAGTGCTTCATTAGTTTTTGGGTTTATATTATTTTGAAACTAGAATGACTTGCGTTCTCTCAGCTTACGACGCTGAAACTTCATATAATGGAGGTTAGTAAGGGAGTGCAATTACTTCCGCTGGTGTTCATCGACATCATGATAAACGTCTAGTGATAATCATCATATTGATAAGATTGTTTTTTGTTTTTCATCATATTGACAAAATTGTTCTTTGTTCACAGGATAAACCGTATTGCTTACCGCGTAGTTCAAAACCTCTTTAAAATATTCATGATACTAGCTAATTAAGCAAGGTTGGCGAGATTACTTTATTCTTCAGAATCTTTTGATTTTGGATGGAAAAATGATGCATTAATGAGTTATAGTAGAAATTCCTTTTCAGAATTGTTTTAACAACAGAAAATGAAATCAGAAAGAATCTGAGCAGTTTGATGTATCATGAAAAAACTAGTAAGTTTAATTCGAACATTTAAAAAATTTTTTCCAGCGGAGTGAATTATGTATGCATGGGTGAATTTCATTTTAAATTGACAAATGAATTTCGAATGAGTAAATCATGCAACAGACTTTTTGCTAAAGAAGTGAAAACTACGGAAAAAATTTTATTTTAGATGATGGTAGTTACTTATGTTATTACAAAAACTTGGCCAGCGATAATCCAATCACATATTTGTGTAATATTGGATGCTGCACAAACGGCTGCTGTGCACTTCAGGAAGTTAAAATGTTCGTTGTATGTATTTAAGTGAGATGTCCGAGAAGAATCTTTCAGAATCAGGAATCATTAAAAATAACTTCCATTATCGATACCAATATAATTTAACAAACAGATTCCTTTTAGTATATTAAGTCTCAAATAACGCTTTGATGGGCTACCACTCGTCCTAGAGCATACGCAAGATTTTATTTTGGAAGCTGGAGTCCTAAATACAAATTCTATATATGCTTCCGCCAAATTCCTTTTTAAACTGTTGGTGAACTGAACTAGAGCTGCCAGAATAAAAAGTCATTACAGGAGTGGAAATTATAACTTGATGGTTATACTTTTGTTAATATTCGTTTTTGCGATACTATTCACAGCATCCGCTATGCTTGTCATTTATTACATTTATAATCGTAAAAGCGATGAACGTGGCTATGAATTCAGCGGAAGTTTTACGGAAGATAGTGTTGTTGGATCACAAGTAATGTGCTGCTTTTAGATTTTATTTTGTAACATAAATCTGAAAAGAATGCAATTTCATTGTTTTTGTGAATTATTGCCCAAAGCTTATTTTGAAACTATTAATAGTCTCCGGAATTTTGGAGACTTCACATGCAAAGAATATTTCCTTAGTGCATGCTCCTAATGTTTAAATTTAGATAAATGTTTCATTTTAGGTCGGTGGACCTCCAACTTACTTTGGTGAACGTCGATATCTCCCTCATATCAATCCTGTAAAGTTATACTGATGTGCAGCAAATGTCTTTGGAATCATTTACTAATAGTGCTTGTTAAATAAAGCGATGATTTTAACTTGGAAACGCAGTCTCTTTCTTAATTTATTAATGTATGTATTATCACCATTTGAAACTAATAAATCGCACGCGGCAGCAAATCCTGTTGCCGCAGACATTATTTTAAAAGTGTTTGACTGAGAATAAAATTTCTATATAAATACTTTGTGCTATTAGAACTTTCCATATAAGGACAGATTTTGGTGGAATCTCTCCAGATTCTTAATAATGATTTGCTTAAACATCGAAATCCATCAACTATCCGTTTCAGAAACATAAAGATTTCAATAACTGTAATCTTCTAGATTTCGTTAATTTTTTTAAATAGACCATTAATCCTCAAAATATACACCACTTACAAGTATTAGAAACTTTGAAAATGGTTCAAGGAAGTACATTAACCGGGATTTCGCCATACGATTTCAAAACTGTTACTTCCGAAGCACCTATTGGTTGCTATGGTTATAGCATAAGGCTTTGAAAAGTGTAACGAACACCCTACTTTCCTTTCGTCTTGCTATTCGATATTTCTGATCTTTTCAGTCTTTAGATTTTTATTTGATTTTATAACCGTTTCAAGAGTCGTGGACTTCCGGATTCTGCAAATTTTCTTATTTTACACTTTCCAAATGGTTTACCATTCTTCAGAATTCTGTGCACATACAAATATTATAAATTTGGTGCCTCATGCACGCGTTTCACTGATTGTCTCGGGAATTGTTTACTTGATTATGATTTTGGTGTCTTTTGAACTGATTAGTTTTCCTGATATTTTTGCAAATTTTTAGTTGTTTTCAACTATCACTGGTTTCATTCTCTGAGCTAGAAAGTAGGAAAATTCTATAGTGATTCTGGTTTAAACCTTTTCCCTTGAAATGACATCTTTCCACTTATAATTTTGATCACAGAAGATCACAGAAGTCGAGAAAACTCGTTAATGTTTATGTCAAATTTTTACGGAAATTAATAAAATTTACCGTAATGAGTTTTCAGTATTTGAAGAAACACTGGAATGAAGAATGGAGCGATACTACGAAAGCATAATACTAGATATGGTGGTGCGCTTGATGAAATGCTAGGAATTCGGTCCAAAAAAGGAAATGTGATTCAAAAAGGTCAGTGATTTCAAGCTTGATACCCCTTTGCAATCGTAAGTGGTAGATTCGTTGTTGACTTTTAGGGCGTTAGTTACATGTACGTTTATTACCATTAATTACCTAAATAATTTGAAGGCATAACTCTCGTCATCATTTCCTTAGTTTGTACAACTTGGCTTTCAGTTTACAGGCTTCAAAATTGCCCATTTTAGTTGAGCTATCAAAACAAACGCAACTGGTGGAGAGGCCAAAAACAAGGCATGGCCGATATGGAGAGGCAGTTACAGCGGCTGTAACCAGCGAATCATTTCCGTTATCTTTCAAACTTCGATTTACGGATGTGCGTCGTCCTCCAATCATTTTTTTGAGCAATTGACAAAAAATATTTGCTGTTTATCGAATCTTAAAAAATTACTACCTTCAAATCTTGAAGACGGCTATTCTTTTCTAAAAGGGAAAAGTGATGGTTTAGAAAAGTGATGTGACCGTAGAGCGCTGGCAGCGAGAATGTGAGGAGGATGGAAGAAGTGATGATGAGAAGGAAATCGATGACGAAGAGGAGGAAAAGTCTAGCTCGCAAAGCAATGATGCAAATGGAACTGGAAGGAAATCTAGAGAACATATGTCATTTTTTTTTTAATTTTGAACTAAAGAGTTTGTATGATTACATGACCTTAACAAGCATTAAGTACATGGCTGATTTTAGCTATTCGTTAACACAGCTAGATCGAATTGATCACTTTTTTCGAAACTAATTTGAGGTGCTCATCTCCGTATACTCACTCATCTGACTTCTCTACTTAAAATTCCTCGATGATTCTAGACAAAAAATAGAAACGGTTAACGACAAATTTGAAAATGATGCTGTAGCTATTGCACAAAAGATAGCATGTTCACCAGCGGTTAACACAGCAAAAAGTGATAATCGTTTTCAACATTCAATCGGCACCTCAAATCAAGGACAAGATTCTGATCAATCGATAAAGACAGTAAGGCAGAAAAACCAATTTTCTGGTGTAATATCGAATTCACTAATAATAATGTCATTAAAATAATTTTAAAATTTTCAAAATCTGCGCTGGAGACTTGCACTAGGAAAGTTTCGAATGACCAGAAAGTTACGAATTCCTGAATGTTTAGGCTGTTAAGAAGACCAAGGCAAGAGAAAGCCAGATATCTGAAGAAAACTTACATGGTACATTTCGAATACGATCAATTTATGCAACCTCAAGGAACAAACAAGATAGGTAAAGACTACTGAAGTCTACACAATTCGAAAATTATTAACTGAAATAAGCCCTGAAAGATATATGACACATAGAAAAGAAGTTCCATAATTTTGCACAAATTTTAGCGAACTGAAGAAACCAGTTGAAGAACATCTGAGAACTACGTCTGTCAATGAAAGCCCATCTTCTGGCAAAGAAGCATATGAGGTAAAATCATTTCCAAATATTTCAAAAAATAAGAGAAAGGAGCGAAAGAAATCCGGAATAATCAGTAGTGTTTAAAGATGTATTCCAGAAATGGTTTCAAGAAAAAGTGAGGCAGGAAAGAGAGAAGAGACGAAAACAGAAAGAGAAAGAAGAGGAGGTGGGAAAGGTATTGTACAATACGTAAATTTTCGCTATCACCTAATTAAGTCGGTCTTAGCTTCGCCAAATTTTTGGATTTTTTTTCCAAATTTTTGAATGGTTAAACTACAGGCGGGAGAAGAGAGAAGAAAAGAAGCTGAAAGAAATTATGAAATTTGGAAGCAACGAAGTGATGAAACGATTCGAGAAAGGAGGAAAAACAAAAGGGAAAAAGCGGAGGCTTTAACAAGAGAAAAGATGGAAGAAATAAGGAGAAAGAAGGAGGAGGCGACTCAGGTGGGCTCAGGAAGGTGCGGGAAGTGGCAAAAGGGAACAGAAGTTTTAAATTTGATCTATGTAGCCTTCATCCTCTTAAAACATCATTGTTTAAAAACGGATATGAAGTTGCAAAAGTATACGTCTTTGGAATTATGCACGAATTGCTAGAAAACGAAGTGTAACCAAGGCGTTAAGAAGAGAAATGAATCCAATCATGTAGGATAAATTTCTGTAAGAACGAAATTGGAAGATACATCTCGAAGATTTTTCATGAAATTCACCAAAATCGGTTTGCATTAGCAATTACCATAGTTCTATCAACCACTCACTCACTAATAACCATCCTTATACAAGAATGTTAATTTTGAAATATAGTAAAAAGTGAAATGATTCAAATCTGTTTGTGGCAATAGTTAGCAGTAGTACTAATTAGAAAAGAAAACCTTAGTGATGGTAAAGTGCCCTTATGATATTAGGTGGAAATAGAATAATCATAGAGATAAAAGGTAGTAGTTTACTCTTTGAATCCAGATGTTTCAAGCATGGAAAAACGATCGATTGCAAAGGCTTTCGAAAGAGCAAAAACAACATATACAAAATAAAGAAAATGATGAATTGAAAAAGAAACGCGAAAAGGAAATAAGAAATAGTGAGGCTCAGAAGGCATTCAATGCATGGTAACTGAGTTTAAAATGTATTCATCATATGCTTCTTGTTTTATTCTATCTTTGCGGCTTGATGAGTTGAAATATATTTAACTAGTAGCAAAATTGAAAATGAATCGTCTGGATCTAAGTGTCTTTCTTTCAATGGCCTTGACAGTCCAAAGCACACCGGACAAACTTATTTGTGCTGCCGTCAGTTAGACAAGAAATCAATCTCATGCTAGGCTAATAAGATAATATAGAAGTGGTGGTTGATTATAAATAATGTTGCCATTATCTAATGAAAAACAGGATTTCACGTTAACGAAGCATGTTCCGACCATTGCAGTATTTTCATAATCACAGCCACTTCTAATAGGCCATTCAGCAAGAAATCGTTTATCAAGATTTTAGAATTAGGACTAAAGAGTCGTTGACAGTAGTAACGCTCGAAATGTTTAGAAAAAAATAAGTCGGTATATTTGCTAATATTTTTGTGAATATTCCTTTGTTGCTTTAATGTGCAATTACTTCAATGAATTCAAATATTGCGTAAGAAAATGAGAAAATAGAAGCAGTTTGAGGTATGAAGAAAACAAAATTCGAAATTTGGAAGCGCAACGCAAACTGTTGAAATCCAAGAAGGCGGAAGAAATGCAGAGTAGGAATGCAAAGGAATATAAAGAAGCACTAGCAAGAGAAGCTTATGATGTTTGGCTTCAAATAAAGGTTTTTTTCGAATTTTCCGCTAAATTTGGAGTATAGTAAACAGTTATCGCACTTAACGTTAAATTAAAAGTTATTTAAATAGAGTAAATAGATAACGTAGTTTTTCAGGAAAGTGAACGCCGTTTCAACGAATCTTTACAAGGTCGAATAATGAAATTTGATGAAATGTTCCGTCGATCACATTTAGTTCCATGGGTTCCACCAAGTAATATTATTCCACGACAATTCGTTCCAACACGCACCAGAAGGCATCAGTCCGTCAAGCGATCCATCAAATCAAATCAGGCTTACAAAAAGTTTCCATCAGTGATTCATCGCTCCAAGTCAGCACTCAGATAAAATATGAGAATTTGTTATATGAGAATCTCTCATATGAGAATCTGTTAGCTTGAAATATAATTTTAGCGAAAAGATTAATTTCAAGAGTTTTCCTGATTCTTATTTTTTTTCAAAGGAAAAAACTGGAATTTTAAGCATATTGAAGTAATTAAGACCATAATAACCACTCAATTATTCAGTGCAACACATTTCTTTAATCAGCTGATTAAAATCTATCTCGAACTGGCCATCTTAAAATGACCCATACTCAAGTTTTTCAATATTCCATACGGTCTAATATCAGGCTGGGTCACTAATAATCGTTTTTAGCTCTTTACATTTCTTTAAAATATAGTTACTCATGAATAAAAGAAATGTTTCTTGTTCTCAACACCTTGGTAAAATTTTTCCGTAATCAAATCTCGACTCAGCATTGCTTCCATTTAATTAAGCATACGCGCTTATGTCTATGTTATAAAATGGATCATTTTTACATATATGGATTTGCCAAATCTGCAGGATTTTAGAACAAAAAGAAAATATAATTTTTATGTCACGGAAGGAAACTTGGTTTTATGTTTTATTTGCTTGAAGATATATATGACTTTTTGATCTTTAGGACAAGAAATTCTTTTCAAGTTGGATTATCCTGATCTAATTGCTTCTATGAAGAAAGATTTAATCTGAAATCCAGGAAAATTTTGACATTTTTCTTGAATTTTTGAGTGTTTCATTATGAAATCGTTTTGAAAATACTGTAATGGCATCTTTGCATGCCGTAATTTTATAAAATACATCGTAGATGATTTGTTTCTTTGGCAAATTAGTTTGAAAGATTAGAGAATTAAAATGATGCGCAGTAATTTAAACGTTCAATATTTTAAGTGCCAATATAATATATCTTCTCATAATACGATACATAACACTAAAAACATAATATTTAATATTAAAACATAATGCTAAAGTTTATTTTGATTGTCCGAATCATTCTTTTGAGATTTAATATCATCCAACTTATTCGATTGCGTATTTTGATAAGATATCCAATTCAAATTTTGCAATTGATCTATTCTATTTGTATGGTGGAAGCATCATTGATTAAACATTCAGCAAAAAAAATAAAAAAAACTGACAGAAAAGACATAAAGAAAAAGTTTCATAAAATAATATTGAAAGTAAATATTCGAAAATTGATGAAAAAAGTTATAACAATACTGTATAGAATGAAACTCCAAATATAATCTCAGTAAAATGTAAATGATTTCGAACTACGAAAGAAAGTCAGAATTTATCATTCCCTTTTGCATCACCGAAAATAGACAAAGTCATCCGTATAGTTTATTATTATTTCGTTTAAATTTTATTTCGAAGATTAATTTTATTAATTATTTATGGTCATTGATTGATAACTTCAATGGAACAATAGCTCTTCTCATTTGAAGATGCAAAAACTATAAGTTACTACCTGAAAACTGGTTTTTGCTTACATACGTGCTATTTGTAGAACAAAATAATGACACGAAAAAGAATGAATCATCAAAAGCACAATTACATGTCCAGAACGATCGATGATCACAACCAATACCTGCATATGTTGATGATGCTGATGATTGCATATCTATTGTTGTCAGTATGATTCATCTAGCTCCTTTCAATTTACTACCAACCTGCTTTATAAGCCAATCGACCTTCACGCTATACATAACGTCATTTCCATCGATTGTGATTCCATGATTAGAGGATGCACCTGACTACTCTTGCAACACATCCCAAAATTTCCAGCCATTTAGATACCACAGGTGCATACACCTATCGTCTTAATATACGGATAAATGGCAGACTCACTCTTTTTTTCATTCTTTATCATCTAAGGCAGTTGTAAATTCAAGTTAGGATGATTGTTTATCCATCCATTATTTGGTGTTTATATGGTGATAATGGAATGGATATGGGAGTTGCTATTCCCTTACATTCACTGGAAAGTTATCATTATCCATAGGTAATAAGGCGGACGTTGGTTGCCATAGGTGTGGACATATTTTGTGTCGCTTTAATCAATCATCTTTTCATCTATGTTTTCGTATACCTTTCATTGCAGTTGTTGAGTATAAGTATTCACTTCGTTGAATAATAAACAAGTTCTATTTAACTTGTTTACTACTATTGATCATCGGAAATATTTTACTCTACTTCTTGTAATTTTTATTTGAATAAAGCGATTTTACGAAATAATTTACAGAGTGAATTGGATTATCAGTAAAAGAAATGTCAGCACCACCACCCTTTCAGGCTCCACAATATCAGGTTAGTTAAATTCCAAATACTGCATTTTATGGATAGCTTGTAGTATTATTTCTATGAACTCCTAATATGAATTTAAAACAAATCGTAAATGGATTTAAACAACATCGTCAAAAACTAAAATACAACATAGTGCAAATTAGAGAATCACCGACCAACTAATGGCATATCTCCCAAAAAAGATTTTTTGAATATAGTTGAAATGAGTCATTACAATTTGTGAAATTATTTTGAAATGCGTACACAAAGTGTGATTAAGTCTTTCGTAATAATTGATCGAATTTTCAACATTTTCTTAATGTATTTTTCTTCAGCACAATGCGAGACAATTTTTATTCCAACCGTTTTTACAATAGTTTGTTTCTATGCTCACACGTTTGATCTTTAGATAAAAAAGATAGTTATTGGAAAAAGAGAAAAAGATATGGTATTGTTATCAGGTGACGATAATTGCGCTTGTTGATAATACATTCTATTGAAATAATATAATATATTGTGTTGAAAAAATTGAATTAGAGCAAAAAGGGACCGGTGAAAAAGGTTTTCAAATAAAATCATTGTTATGGGATCTTAAATTATCTGATTTTTGCACTAACTGTTATTTTTCCTTTAGTATCCATCACCGCAAAATTATGGTGCACCTGGCTATTGTTATTCATCACAACCATGTTATGGGAATCAGCCACAACCGACATTTGGTTATGGTTATGGTCAGCAACCGCCAATTATGTATGTTTATCGAATTTCTTGCTTCTAAAAAAGAAATAAAAAAACTGGAAAACATTGCTACATACCATTTTCTATCACTATCTTACACATACAACGTGAAGACATAATCGCTGGGTAATTTCGAAATATGGTAGAATATATTTTTGGAATCAGAGAAGACATGCTGGCCGGTTAAGAACTGGCAACAGTGTGAACTGGAACAGGTGTTTCTAAGTGACTTATTATAATCCTTATGATAGTTATGATGCAAGGAAGTGTTGCATTAAATAATTGCTTTTTTTGTTTATTTCAATTAATAAACAACAGGACCGCCTCAAAATTCATGAAATTTAAATTATTGAAGTGGGTGTAATTGTATGATTATTTAGACAAACAATAGGACCACCTCAAAGTTCACGTGAAAGCTCGAACAAATGCTGTTTATGGACACTGCTAGGATGTTGTTTCGGTTGCGGTTTGGCAGAATGTTGCTGCTAATTTATTAAATTAAATTAATTTGTTGAAACAGTTTAACACTATTAATTCTATCGTTGTTTTGTCGCTGCAATAACATAATATAATGTCATTAGTAACAGTTGTAGTCCAAACTTTCTAGGAGTGAGGCTTATACTTTATCTTTGCCTTTTTTAACTTTCTCTACTGATGAAAATTTGAACACCTTTTTTTTCACAACAGAAGTTTCTGATAGTCCTATTGATAACTGTTTCCAGAAACATATGTAATTGTTATTTTTTGTATGGCAATTTTAATGTAATGAAGTTGTTTTTGAAGACGAGTAAAAATGATTGTGTAAGAGTTTGTTTTATTTTCAGAACTTTGATTCTGTAATTACTTTTAATCGTTACTTTTAGTCATAACTGCCTACTTATCAATATTTATCAACTTGCAAAATTACGAAATTTCCTCCTCTGCAGCTTTTGTAATGTCTCTTGCTATAAATTAATGCAAAAATACATTAATGGATTTCAGAGGAAGAAATATATATATAGAATAGAGTTAATTCTATTTTATATGGTCTGAAGATTTAATCATGTCATCTTTGATTATATTATACGGTATACATATAGCTACATATGATCTTGAACTTTACTACCTTCATTTTTAATTTTACTGGTCTTGAATAATTAATTGAATGATGTCACATTGAGAAATTGATCGCCGATAGTTGGTGAACAATGAATGCTGATCTGTAAAATGAATGTGATAAAAATTTGTGTGATGCAAAAATAAATGCAGTCACTGAATTACATCATAAAGACAAAAAATCACATTTCAAATTTTCAATTAAATTTTTTTATTGAGTTGAAGAGAAAAAAATAACGGAGGAGGAATTATTGCAACACTTATGTTTAATTAAGCATTGTCGAAATCAATGCAATCCCATTTTCAAATTAAATAGCTTACATAAACTTCTGTTCCTTTTCTGATCCACAATCCCTAAAAAATATTAGCAAATATGAAAACGGAGATTTAAAATTCGATAAGGATGGAATGATTTGTAGACAAAACAATTTTGTTTTTAACTTGAAAAATGGGTTTTTCAAGTTATTGCCATCATTATTCAAATAAAAATTCCCGCACCAATTTGTTAAAACTGTTGTCATTAGATTTCATTTCTCGAAGTTAAGAAATTATATAATTTAAAATTTCATATCTATTTCTGTTCAGAATGTTACAAAATTAAAAACCAGTACTTCTAGCGGGGGAATGCTAGCGTGGTGATAACACTTCCCATGAAACAGTTTATTCCATTATTAAACATAGCACTGCTGATAGTTTGCATGCAAAAGGGATTGAATCACCCTCGCCTGTTCTCCCTTTCTTCCTCACTTTTCACTGACATATTTCATTCATTTTCGCTCATTCCAGCTTTTTGAAATGCTCATCTCTGAGTACTGTATTCTCGGAAGTTCGCCATTTTCAAGTTTTTTTTTTTGCAATTACTTCAGAAACAAGATTTTATTTGTACATTGTATATTTGTTTGGATAATTCAGCCTTATATTTGTTAATATAGAAAGCTGGAACTTCTGGAACTTAACTAAAGTTAGTTTTTCGCAGCTTTCCACTTTTGATCTTCTATTATAGATAAAAGTTCATAATAGCATATGAGTCAATTTAAATCATAGGTTCAATTATCGATTCAGTAGAAGGAGAAATTCTCCATTTGTGCAATTTTAACCTTTAATAACATTTTGCCTTCAGTTGAAATTTCATCAGCCTCAAAAAAAAGTTCTCAGAATTGAACCAGGAAACTAGTAGAAATGTGTGTGACATCTGAAATATGAAAGCTATTTTACATCCCTCAGGTTCAAATCTATAATAAATAGTTTTGATAAAGTCAGTAAAAATAACACATGCTAGTATCATTTATATATTGTTATCAGTAAAATCATTATATTAATCCTAGTGGTTTTTTGATATCAATGATTAATGAATGAATCAGTATATTTTACATTTGAACACAGAAATAACATTTTTTGTTTTACTGTGTTGAACAAATAACTGTCAATGGATATTGCGATTTTTAGTATCTAACAGTACTTCTAAGGAATATTTTCGTATATATTACTTGATCCATCTTTTTCAAAAAAAAAAGGAGAAAAAGAAATAAAATCATCAGCTGGTTCGAGTCAATTGTAATTTTCCACCTCAAATTATCACTGAGAGCCATCTACTGCAGCAAACTTCAATAATTAATTCCTAAGTACACGCCAACTTTTAAGTAGCCATAAATTCTATATTTATTAAAATGATATGGAGAAAAGTTTAGAAGTGTAGAAAATAAAAAAGTGACACATTGGTACTGAAAAATCGACATCCATAAGTTTTCTCTTTCATCCGCATTCTTCCGTCCTGCTAAAATATTGGACCGATGGAACTCCTTGTCCGATCCTCTTTCAATTATTCAGTCATGCAACTTGACCAGTAAAATTTAATGGATTCTTCTAAAATTCCTAAGGAAAGTGATATTCATAAAACAATAAGTTGCAAGAGCACAGATATTGGCAAGTTCTCTATCTTTATCCAGTGTGATTAGTATATTATTATTTATTATTATTATTTCTTTAGTATTTTTAATTATCACAATTTTTGAAATTTAGCATTGAAAGAGATTGCTTTGCACCCGTGGGTTAATTATGCTAAACTTGCTTTCCTAACTGAAACTCCAAAACAAAAAATAAGTAAAGAGAAATTGGAAGAATAAAGCAAAGTTGATGAAAGGATGAAAAAGCATTTCCCCATCAAAAAATATGGTTTGCTTCTGTAGCTGAGTAAATAAATAATGAATTTCTTCGATAGTATTCTACAAAAAAAGAGATAGGAAGACAGTTGTGCAAATTTGCACACATCCTGGAAGCTTCTGTGCACCTCTCACCACTACTGTACCATTTTTTAATAGTTCTGAAATTTTATTTCCAAAATATCATTCATTTTCATGAGCCTTCCCGGAAGCATCAATGCTCTGAACGATAATGTTTCACACTAGAAGCATTAAATTTAAATGTTAAAAGAACGGTATAGTTACCATAAAGTTTCAAAGGATTCCCAATTAATTTTTGATTTAACCACTTTATTTCATCAAAATTATCTGGCCAGTTTCCACATAAAATTCTCCATTCCTAGGCCTAGGCAAAACATTGCTTAAGTTATCTCAGCATGCAATTTCAGTTAAAATATATTATTTAATACATTAATGGTTTCTAATTTGTTATCGAATTTGCCGCCTTATTTTTGAGCTTCAAAAAACTGCCCTTCATTTCTGAGAAATCTTTAGTTCCAATGGCCTATTTATTTATATCGGATATTTCTGTAAGTTTTTAATTATTCCCCTATAACAAGTAACAGGAATGGGATTTTCAGGTTATACCAGACATTTATTTGCAGTTCTCCATTTGTAGAACCAAAAAGAACTCACTGCAATCTTAGAACAATGACACACTTATTTTTAAAACGATTAAGTAACTTACTAGCAAATATTCGTCTCGAAAATTCTGTTTGGATATTTTAAAATGCGAAGACTGGCACAGATCAAAAGAACTTGAATTAATTATCCCCAAAGCACTTTAATGTTTAATGTAATGTATTACGAACTGGTGAATTTGGTGATATGAAAAATTAGGTGTATTGTCGCTTTATATCTCAGCATAAAATGCTTCAAATTTTTTGAAATTTCTTGACGGCAAATTATTGGATTACAACGAAGCAAAAAATAGAAAGTGATTAAATGAAGATAATATATCATTCTTTTTATTTCTATTTGCTCTTCAACAAACTATAAAAGTAAGCGGACCATTTAGCATTGAAAAGCAAGGAAGCTTTGTAATGTAAACAGAATTTAGTGTAATTGAAAAGAATTTTCAGATTTTATTACGCTTCTTTTTTGTTTGCTTGGCATCACTTTTATCTTTGATTTTCAAAACTTTATTAATGGAATGATGGATTGATTGCTGTCATGTAATCTACTCAACTAATATTACAGTTTAAGCTGGCCAATCAATTCAGCACGTTTAATTTCTCAATTTTCATGATAAGCTGCTATTTGATGAAAAAAATCGTCATTCATTTCGTTGGGAAAAAAGAGATTCTAAAACATGAGAATTTACCTGTTGTTATGAATACAAATAAGAAACTTTTACAAAAGGAATTTTAAAATATGAAATGCCAATTCATTCAAAATTGTGCCATTTCATTTCTGATCAATTGACAACGCGTCAGTGTCATATTCTTAACAATAATATTAAAAGGTTTCTTTCTCCATCACCTATTAATTAACTCATCATTAACAAGACTGATGCAACGTCACCTGAGAACCTGTTTCCAAGTATAAAGTCTGGGAACAATTTATTTTCTTCTTATTAACGTATTTTTCCACGAAAATATTACCAACGATAATATTATGTTAATAAGATGTTACCGTTGTTAACACTTTTGTGGAAGAATAATTATTAAATTATTAATAAAAAATTAGGTCGTTTCATGATAGTAACATCCATCAAGCATTAATAAAGGTAGCGCATTTAAGTTAAGTGGCACTTACTGATAAACGCTACGAGTTTCACATATCACATAAATATAACTTTTGACAACATCCAAACCCAATAACTCATTTCACATGCATCTGGATAAGCTTATGCATACACACTACATATACAAATACATGAACGTACGCATGCACCGAGTGTATGATGAAAGAAGAAAAGGCCAGCTATTTGTCCATTTGGTTGTTAGCAAAAAGATTGTTTTCACAGAACATTCTGTAGAGGTGCCGACAGGTATTGGTGGAAGCCTTTAAACATAGATCAAATGAACGGGTTGGTCAGATCGTAGAGGGATACTAATAAGCAAGACAGAATTCAAAAAAGATATTCAGACGCAGCGTCCATGGTCACATTCATGAAAATTTGTTCAATTTGATCATTATTACCTATCTCATTAAAATAAGGTTATTTCATTTACATAATTATTTAGTTATTTTGGAATTTTTTTTTTTGATTTGCATTCCGAAAATTTAATGTTCTGTTAGTCTTTATAAATCTCATATTTCAATATGAATTTTTGACAACATTTCAAATTTTTAGTTTCAGAAATTAATTAATCACTTTTAACATCCTTTTCTTTATATTTTTTATTCTAATTAGTGAATTATTAATTTTGCATTTGCTATGCGAAAGTGAACGAAATTTCTCGATGACTTAACAGGCAAAGTGCAACATTTCCTTTTTCTATTAAAATTTTTTGTTGAAAATAAATTTTCCAAGTTTCCTATATTATCAGGTTATTTTTATTTGTGCAACACTGAACTCTTGTTTTATTCTTATTATTAGCAGAAATTGCATTGTTATTTGTTTCGGAATAATCAGAGTTGTTGCCCTGATAGTTATTTAATCATCATTTTGTTTACTGCCAGAGCATTTCGTTTAGTTAGTCAACGATCGCAACAAACGGCATTAGTTAGTAAATCTAAGGCAGTGTATTTTTGGTTGCTCAATCCTTTTGATAATATAATCTACTGTTGCTCCAGAATTTTTCGACTTTTCCCATTCCTTTATTTAGTAGTTATGAAGATAGTGGTGATACTTTGTAGGAGCAAAATATAAAATTCGAGAAAGCAATAATTTTTATGAGATTATTTTAAATTGTTTTAAGTTGCATTGTTTTAATTTGCATCAATTTTAAATTGTTTTAAATTTCTATTCAAATCTAGGATTATACATAAAAATTGTTGGAAACTGTTCATATCAATTTTTGAATTTTATTTGAGTATGGTAAATTCTAATAGTGATTAACAAAACTGATGGTTGGAGAAAAATAATTGTGAGAAAAAGGATTAAATTGATTTTGTTCAAAAGCGCGTTATAGAATACGTACAATTTCGATTACTCTTTGAATGAACTGAAAAGAAATCGGTTTTTTTAAACCGATTTCATTAAAGCATTTTTGAAATGTATTTTTTATAGTTTGGTTTGTACAGATTAATCTTTAACCAAATATCTGAAAATTTGAAATATCTGAAGGGATGTCAGCTGTTAATACTGAAAATATTCGTGATTCTTCTATACCGAAACGACACACTTTCATGAATTCACGGTCTGTTATGCAATAAAAAGAAACGATTCTTTTAAAAATTTTAGTTGTGGTCAGATATAGAAGAGATGAACGGTTGAATAAATTTGTTTACATAGTTCAAATCACTAAATTGAATAAATTTTTGTTTACATAGTTGAAAAAAAAATAAATTTTTGTTTACATAGTTGTTTACGGTTGAATAAATTTGTTTACATAGTTGAAATCACTTATAGTAAGGTTCTACTTTTAACAAATTTTGCACGAAATGCTAGAATTCCAACAAAAATGTTCCTTTATGGGAATAGCGGTCGTTTATTTGATTTCAAAGTATAATATAAGACTCAATAATGTAAAGTAATAATGCAAACTTAATGAAGAGAAAATGAACCTCCAATCATAGCTAACATAATATTACATTTGAATCTTTCTCGAAAGAAAAACTGTCCTGTTTTTAATTCATTCACTAATTATGTGTCCATATTTGATTATTTTGACGTTACTTTCTTGATTTTATTATTGCTAGGAAATATTATTCAAAAGTTGAGTTCAAATTTTACAAAGAGTTTAAATAAATTGCGAATTATCCCTTATTTTAGGCACGTGTCACACGTACGGTCACGATTTATTAGGATGTTGCAAAGTCAACATCCCTTATACAATAACAAATTATCAGTAACAATGAGTATCGACACGCTCCATAACACATCTCTTCATATCGGTGACGTAATATCACTGTATGCCGAAGATCATTACCGATCAGTGGAGGATCGTTGGGAGGAACGTTTGTCTCCCAGAACTGGATTTTTATCAACACTTGGGTATCACATACTTATCACACATTTATAATTTCCACTATAAGTGCACTTATGAATGTAGCATGAAAATAAAAGGAATGATAGCGCTTTTTCAATGAGGTATTTTGAAACTAAGCGTTATCGTATCTACCCCAAAAATAATAAATTTTGAAGCCGTAACAAAATTAAATTATAAATGTGAATTAAACAGCATTGTTTGAGAATGAAATTAAATACACATGATAAAGATGCCATACTTGTTGTACGAGCTAATGTCTTTTTTAAAAAGATTTTAAAAAGATTACTCTTTGTTTTTCCTTTTGATTTAATAAATCTCACGAATTGTTTTGCAGTCTTGTTGATGACAGATGTATTGTGGAGGTTGGTAATGGTACTCCTGATTCACCGCCAAAGAAATTCCGAGGTATTTTATCGATTAATTTAATGAATAGACGTGAAATACTGCAGTAAATAATTTTTTGCACTAGTCTTAAAGAACGTAATTTTAAATAAAGATTTTTTATTCTTCTTAATTTTATCAGAAACTCTATCAGTTTTTAAATTACTGTTCGCTTAAGAATAATATACTTTCCCATGCTTTGATTAATTTCACATATTACAGTATTACGATATTTTGAAAAAATTTTCTTACAACCATAGCGACGGCTTAGGAAAGAAGCGAGATTAGAAAAATGTATCCGGCATGTGTAATGCATTAAAAGTGATCCAAATTTAAAATTTGAAATTGCTATATTGAAATGTCCTTAAGTTTTTGGATTGGATTGCTAACCGTTCAACAGTTTACATTTTCAGATTGTTTGTTTCGAATTTGCCCGATTAATCGATATGCAGCACAAAAGCAATTTTGGACGGAACAAAAAAAATTTCAAGTTGGTGAATCACTTTTTGAAGAAGATATGCTAAAAAAGCTGAAGCATGCTGCAGATAAAGAAAAAGAACAAAACGATATGGAATATAAAAAAATGCTTGGTGTAAATGTGCAATACGGTGGTACAATACAGGTATTCTATTACCTGCGATCTTAATTTCTTTTCTTGTTTCTAATTACGTTTTTGTTCCTAAAGTTTTAAATTGTTTATGTCTTATCAAATTACTTAAGAAGTTTCAGTATTTTTGATTCAACTTCTTCGAGCACATTTTTTAAACTAACTCCACTGTTAAGTATTAGTTATTCATTATTAAATTAGTTATTCATTATTAAATTATTGAATTGTAAAATTCTGCTTAGAAATGCAGATTAAATCATGCTTTATTGAGCTGTGTCAATTGATTACTTTAATGAAAAATATTTATAACATAATTAATAAGTTGTGTAAGTTCTAACTTAATGCTAAGACTGTATTTCTAGTCAACAAGCTGCTCAAATTTATGGTTGTTTCCTTTTTCTTCGTTAAATTCTACTAATAAATTTTGTTTGCAGTTGTTGCATGTTAAATCAGATAAATATCTAACAGTACTGAAAAATTCACCGGCTAAATTGGAACGGAATGCGATGAAAGTATATTTGGATAAAAATGGCAATGAAGGATCGTGGTTTCATGTTGAACCCGTTTATAAACATTCCTTCCTTGGTGATAATGTTTGTTTTCAATATTTTCCTTAAATCGTTTGATTTCTAACAACAATTTCGAGTTCTTTTCTATTTTTTTTCTTCTTTCACCAATTTAAGAGCAAAAAGCTTAAATTAAAAATAATTTAAACAAAAGAAATCTTGATTTTTAATAAATTCACACGGAAGTAATTTTAGGTAAATGCCGGGGATAGGATTAGCCTGGTGCCTTATTCATATTGTCCAACTTCGAGCACAACGGGACATATTAAACCTCAATTGCATTTATCACATATCAGGTGATGGTGCTTTCTACAGATGAAAAAGCTCGGTATTCTGTTTGTTCAAGCAGAAAAATCTGATAAGCATTGCTAGAAAGCATATTTTCGACTTTTCATCTCTCTCGAAAGTTTTCATAAAAATTGTATTTCTTCGTTTACTTCCATAATCATTAGATGGATTTCGCACCAATTTCATAAATATACATTATTTCACACACTCCCGCAAAACCCCAAAATTTTCAATCCATCTTTTCTCCCACAAATCGGTTTATTTTTAATGCAAGCTATATTTCTGTAGTTTTTGCATAACTGGTCTTCAAGTGTCATTCTCTAAAAGTAATACGACCTTTTACTGAATATTTCTACCACTCCTTGTATCTTTTCAATGATATTTTTGAACTTAGCACTGAAACTTTTACTGTCAAGTTGGAAATGCAATTTTCAAGATTTTATTTTATGATGTTAGATATTTTCTTCTAATCTTTTTTAGTTTACCAGATTATCCAATTGGATTTGAAGTAAATTGTTCAAGCGATCATACCGAATGGCAGGTTTTGATGTTCTTACAGTTTGACGAGAACCAAGCAAATATTGTAAAATCTGTAAGTTTTCCTATCTGAAATTGCTAAAGAATCTGAATTTTTTCATGTAAAATTTGAGTTTGTATAAAATTTATAAGTCATGCAAATATATTGTATCAATGTTTTTATAAATGCTGAGGCAGTATTATTGCAAATGTTTGCAGGGAGACGTCGTACGACTTTTTCATGCCGAGCAGCAAACATTCTTAACCTTAGACACAATACCGAAAACAGATAAGGATGCTGTATTTTTGCGTTTAACAAATCGTCCATCTGCCGCTGATGCGACTTCTTCACGAGCTTTATGGGAAATTCAGGTTGCCTTCGAAATAATTATTTAGTAAATATATTAATTTAGTAACTCAGTTATTTCGTACTATGTTCGTTTTACTCTCACGATGAACGATTTTTTTTGTTGAGCAAAAATTTGCAGGTTGTGCAAGTGGATTCATATCGTGGTGCAGCAGCATCTTGGCTCAAAGAATTTCGCTTCAAACATTTAGCCACTGATATGTATCTAACCGTAGAACGAATGCAACTAAATAAGGCTGAAAATGTACCAACTGGAACAATACCATTTTCTTCCGGTATAATATTATGAAAGTTGTAAAAGTCAAATAACTTTGTGACTAAAAAGAAATATGTGGTACGGAGAGCTGTTCTTTAAATTACTAAAGCCTCCAGCAAGATTTATTTTATTTTCCAAATCCTTGATTCCCTATCATTAACATGACAATCCTTTGCTGAAAATATTTTCTTTTATTTCATACTTCACTCGATGCTTACTGAAATTTATTTATCAATTTGTTTTGCTTTCATTTTTTTATCATTTAATTAGTGATGATATATAAGATACTTTATGGACATGTAACTAAAAGAGTAAGATGCGTTTTAGTCATCTTTATTTTTCAAATCTTTTCCAGAAAAAAGTTTATTTAAAGTTCATATATATATATATATAAATGTTGTTAAGCGAATATGGAAGCTGAGTGCTGTGGTGATGAGCAGTTTTATTTGGTACCAAAACATTCAGAAAGACCAGAAACTGATGAATCCTTGTTATTTGTATTGGATCCCTGTACTTTTACGAAGGTAAAATCAAACCATTTTTAAATTAGTCTTGACCACGGATGAATTACTATTAATAAAAGTATAATCACTTTTACTTATTCGACAAGCGTTTGAATCTAACTTAAAGTATAGTCAAAATGAGAATAAAACAACTTATTAATAGTGATCTCAGAATATAAATTTAGTCAAATCCTCTTGAGCATATGAAGAATTTCGGAAATCGTTTATGTTTAATACTATAATTTTATCTTTCTGGAATATTTTTTATAATGGCAATATTTTTTCACTTGTTTTAGGCAAGTTCTCATAATCTTTTTATGAGAACTGAGAAAAAAGTTTAATGTTCGGAGTATTCTCATATACAAATTCAGGTTATTTTCGGAAATTACAAGATTTATTTTTTGATAGATGGATGCGAGAATTTTACAACGGACCTACGTGCGTCTTTGGCACGCATGTACGAACACTTGGATTCATACCACTGATCCTACTGAGAAACAAAACTTATATCACTTCAGGTCAGAAATCTTTCAAAAACAGAATTTTTTTTTTAATAAAAACAAGCTGTATGCGAACTTTCGTATGCAGTAATGCTTTTTTTGATTTCTATTAATACATTCAAAGATTTCAGCAAGAATGAAAAAGGCTGGATAAAAGTAGCTAGTGGAAACTTCAAAATCGATAAGGAAACATTTGCGCTGCTTCCTGTCCGTCCGGAAGAAGTTCGCGATTTGGATTTTGCCAATGATGCATGCAAAGCATTGAACGGTTTCGTCAAACTGATCGAAAGCGGAAAAATCATCTCTAAAGAACCAATGAAGTAATTCCTAAAGCTTCTTGTTGTGAATTAAAATCGCATAGGTCGTTTGTGTTTGCAAATATTCAGAGATGGGAATTTTTCCCACAAATCAATGCTATTACGGCAAATGTAGAAATTGCCTCGTAATTCTCAAGTTTTTTTTTGATTATCATCAAGGATTTTTTACAGAGTAACGATACAGTTATTAACGGAATGCATATATTTCGTGACAAACCAGTCCAATCATATGACAGATCCGATTAAAATTGTAGATTTCAAGCCATCAAGAGATCGGCAAAAATTACTTCGAGAGCAGGGTGTCCTTGATCAGGTGATATTAATATTTTATGTCCGATATATGATGTTCAACACTTTCCTCAGCGGATATTTTGGAATCATTTGTTAGAAGAAATTTGGAATTACTTCTTGTGATACATTAATACTCCATATATGTACCAGAAATGCCACAAATTTGCATTATTTATGACAATAAAATACAGTTTTTCCTAGAAGTATAAGAAAGTTCAAAATAAAGGAAATGAATGATAAAGAAAAATGGAAATGTCAAAGTTTTTAGAATTCCGATTATCCAGTCAGTAGGTCCCTGGATAATATTGCTAATTTATATAAGATTCAGGCTTAAGCCACCTCATTCGACCGAATCACTGATTAGGCTGTTGCTGGTATAGATTGCTTTACTTTAGCTAATTAGTATAAATGGGTATTATCAACCACTTTCTATCTAAATTAGCGTGTCATTTTCCAGAGAATTCTTTTGAATCTAAGTCTAACGTGCAACAAAATAACTATTTGAATCATTTAAAGTTGCATTCCTTTCGAATTGCAATTTAATCAATTTATATTGCTCTATGAACGATCTATTTTAGATTTTTGCACTGTTACGAGTACCATTTTTGCCACGAAATGGGAATGATCCGAAACCTTTGCTGTGTTCACCACGTAAACTAAGTGAAAAGGGAAATGAGATTTTCAAACGAATTTTCCACCTTTGCTACTCATTGCTTAGGTATTAGCTTCTTTTATCTGTTCTAGAAATTTTTTAAGAGTTGTGAAATATGATACCCCAATAAATCATGCCGTGCGAATATTTCTCGTTCTAAAGAAAGCACTGAGCTGTTGAGTGGCCGTCGTGTGATATCATTCTATTAAACTGACATAGAGTTTTAACTATTACATTGTTCTTTCATTTGCAGCAATAGCACCATGTTTTTCAGTTCTGTTAAATACTTCTTTAATTTGTTTAACTTGGGCAATTTATCTGACTTAAAAGGTTCATCTGACTGTTGGACAGTCCTCTTCAGACCGTTAGCTTCAGATGATAGAGCAGAAGTAAGAATGAAAGAATCCAAACGATTCGTTGCAGTTATATTTTGTTGGTTTATGTGTTAATCAAACGTACAGACGTGACCTTTGATATTAATATTTGCGTATATCACAATGCAGACAGTGTGCTTTTTCGAATTGTCACTTAATTTTAGGTATTCACAGGTGGGTTACCGGAAGAATCAAGAATATCTGGCAGAAAAATTTGGTCAAATACAGGAGCAAATTGGATTTGACTTGCTTGCAGAAGAAACAATGACTGCTGTTCTCCACAATAATCCGAAACTGTTAGAAAAATATGTTAAGAATCCACATGTAGAACGTTTTGTGGAACTCGTACGCAACAACAAAGCCGGTAGGTACGTTGTGCTTTTTTTGAAAGTTACGATGATTTCACTTAGGATCAATTCAGTTTAGCTGGATAGCTATACAATGGATTACGTTTTCTGGTTAAATCGTGATTGCCAGTCAGACTGTATATAAGCCTTCTAACTTTTTTGTCTCATGACTGATATTCGTTTAACAAGCCGTTCTTAGTGTAATAATTTCTTAAATCTTGTTAAATAAATTAATCTGCTTAGGTTCTTGGATTATTTGGCGGATCTTTGTGTTTGTCGCGGTGAAGCCAATAAAAAGATTCAGGAATTGATCTGCAGTTGTGTATTAAACGAATTGAATCGCGACATCTTTATTAGCACGACCATAGTTAGCTATAAACCATGCTTCCATAGATAGAAATCTAGTTTTTACAAAATAAACTTGTGAGGAAATTTTTCGTCAACGACATGCAAGTGCAGCGTACTGAAGTTTGCTTCACGTGAAAAATCATAATTACTTACAAAAATTGGTTTCTTGCTTGTTTTGGTGTGTCTTATCCGTGCGATATCCTGTTAGAAATTTTACGAATTATTTATCAATTCTCTTTAAAGAAAAAAATCATGCATATTCTGTCCACTGCAAAAATTCTAGAGCTGCGACGAAGTATGGATTAGTTGGTCGAATTCCTATTGCAAACAGTTGGTTTCTGTGGCAGTGGATGCTGCTGAAGGCCAAACTGAAGATATTGAAATACTTGATTATTACAAGTATATATTTTTTTTTTTAATTGCTAATAAAATGCTCTGTAAAGCTTTTTTTACGGTTCAATTGTAGTATCACAACAAAATTTTATCTTTTTAAGTTTTAGGAGCAAAAGAAATTGCTTCCAAAGTTAATGAGTTCGGATATCACGATTAACAAATGTCTTAAATACAGGCTTTTCAGGCACCAGTTAGATCTTCTAGCACAAATGTGTCAAGACCAACAATATCTCGCAATTGATCCTCCTACTGAAAGACGCCTTCTGAATTTAAGCTTAGAATTACCGACTAACTTGGTGCTTAGGTTTGCATTACTTTGTTTTTTTTTTGAGGTGTGAGTGCAAAAAGTTCATTCTCTTGCTGGATGGTTTGAAAAAAATGAAGCAAAAACTTGCTGAATTACACTTTTTTTAGTTTTCAACTTGTCTTTAAAATATGAAATTCTAGGTGTATTTCGGACACGAGATTACCTCAGGATTTACGTGCTTCATTCACACGTCTTATGCTTCATCTGCATATCATACGTGGTTCTCCACTCAATGCCGTACATCATGCTCGCTTATGGCGTGAGATCCCGCTACGTGCTTCAGTTTCCGAGTACTTCCAATAACATTTAAAAAGAGTAGCTGGATCTTTGTAAAAAGTTTTATAAGAAAACTTTAGTAATATGTCGTAAAAACAATAAGAGCTTTTCTTTGTGCAATATTATTGTGTAAGAATCTTAGCAGTAGTTGACGTTATATCACTTTTGATTTACGTGCAGAAACTCAAATCGATCTTTGAATGATTACATTGATGGTGGTCACGTACGTACTGGAGGAGAGATTTTTGATAAGGTATTAAAAACTGTCGATGTGTATCTTGAGGAATTACGCAAAACAACACGAGAAGGTGAACCTGTCTTGGATCCAAGCGCATCAAAAGTGAAGCAAAATCGATTAACCTTTGAGGTAGTATCCATAGTATGTTCTTTTAAATGTTCGTCATGAGAGACATAATATTTTATTGTTTTAATTCGATTATTTTTAGATCATAACACTTGCACGAGCTTTAGCTCATTTCGGATTCTACAGTTTCTCGGATTTGCTCCGTCTTGCTCAAAATTTGCTAGTTATTGCCGACAGCAATCCAAAAAAACCTGAAGGTACTTCATAACAATGTATACTTTATGAAAAAATATTGTGAGGTCAAAATCTGTTGTAGTTATTCTTAAATTACGCGCCCTTAACCAAAGTGAAAATAAATTGGTGACAAGGTTTCTCAAAATATGACTTCTGAGGCCATTTCAGTTTTATCTGCATTCTAAGAAAGCTTTGTATCTCTTATCTAACTGCCAATTTTTTGCAGAATTTCTAGAGAATGTAATGACAATGATACAATTCTTTCCTTCTTTCTGTTAAGTAGAATCTGTTTTTAAATTTTTCCATGCTGATGCGTCACTAATTACACTCAGAATCGGTGGTCTAGCATTGATTCCGAGTGTAATAAATGAATCATCAATAGGGAAATCAAAAGCAACGAATAAGTTTCGATGACTTCATAGGCTTGTTTAATAATATGAATATATTAAAAGGTAAAATATGTCTTCCCAAATACATCGAAATATTTCTTACTGTTCTATTCTTTACCTCAATGTTAACTTCATATAAGGTCTTTGAAAAAATTTGAGATGCAAAGCCTTTATAGTGCTTATATTCCAGAGAAAATCGCATCTGGCAAAACTGCAAATGCACTGCAAAAAGAAACTAAGCAATATCTTCCGCATATGCAAACAGAATCTGCATGTATCGAAAATACATTTAATGCTAAAGAAAGTAAACAAATGGTTTTGCAAACGAAACTTATAATCGTTGAAATTTTAAACGTAAGTCGTCAACACTTCATTATTTAATGATATTTTACAGAAATGAATAATCTAATTGTACAGATTCAAGCGTTTGTATGTTTTCAGTTCATTATGGATGTACGTCGAGATTATCGTATAACAGTTGCTCTATCTTGGTTTAAAAAACATTTTCCATGCGACGAGCTCGGAGAACTTCTTTCCAAAACAGGTAATTCATTTTTATGTTTTGTTATAGTTTTCATTACATATTTGAAGTAATCTTCATAAGAGTTTAGTTTTACAAGCTGCATGTACTTATGAGGGTTTTCATTTTAAAATATGAAGAGATTTGGGATAGTGTACTCAATGTATTGTATCTCTCTATAATGTGAAGGAGCATGCACAATGTCTGTAAAATTTTGGTAGTTATACCTAGCTTTAGCTCTTTTGGAGGAGAAATTCTACAAAGAGTGAGAATTTCGTTCGCATTTATCTTTTTAAAGAGTTTTTTTTCCTTTTCTGAGGAAACTATGGTGATATAGTACTGATTTTTTTAATTCGAAAGAAAATTTTCACTATTGCTTAAATATATTTATAAGTGGAATTTCAGAATTGTCAGAACACGAAGCATCACAACTATATAAAGAGGTATTTCAAGATTGTGAAGAGAAGCTTGATTTTGATGGTAGGAATGGTCAGCTTCTTCTACGAATATTTCTGCAAATGACAATAAGTGACTTTTCAAAGCTAACTAGTGCAGCTCTTACTGTACTGTTTCGTCATTTCACACAGTATCAAGATTTTGTAGAAGATCTCAAGCAGGTAGTTTGTCGTTTCAAGCAAGATGTTAACTATTATATTTTTGGTTATAATCTAATTTCGTGGATGAGAAAGTATCATTAGATCTTTTATGAATTTGTCTTTAGATTCTGCTTATTCACACTGATCGCACGTTTATTGTTATCTTGCTGAATGATAACAATTTCAAATGATTCGTGTTAAAAAGAAAACTTGTTGGAGCAAAATTTGTTCGTAATTTTGTTAGATAGTCGCTATTCTTAGAAAAGTGTACAAGTTCATTGTTTTCGTACAATTCAGATCGGAATTTTTGAAGGTGTTTTAAATGAATTTTCTGGAAAGGTTCAAAAAAGTGTAAAATATTATTAATTTTATTTGATGGTGGTGTCGACCTTCGTTGGATTAAAAAAGAAAAGCTCTTAAATACTACAATTACAATTTTGGCCACATATGTTAAGAATTGCATATTTTATTGCACTCTTTCATACGTGTTGTGAAACCATAATCTTTTTGCATTGATAACAACAGTAGAATAATAAGAAGAAAAAAGAAATACCGTGAAATCATGACCGTAATTTCTCTGCGATTTTTTTTTTTTTGGAGAACACAACTACAAAAGAAAGAACCTAGTTCAAAATCATCACTGTAAAAAGATTCTGTTGCTAAATTCTCGAATTTAAGAATGCATGAACACTTTGAACTAATACTGCTTAGTGCGCTAAAATGTGTCGTTAATTAATGTTTTTGTAGGTCCAGTTGCTAGTCTCGAATGACGATGTGGAAAATTATCGACAGATTGATCGCGATTTGTTCATTTTGAAAATTCTTACGGAAAAAAGCGAGCTATGGGTGCAAGCTGATAAAACGCAGTCTGAAAGTAGTAGTAATCACAGTTTCGAAGAACATAGCACGAGTCTTGACGATTCGTCAAAGCCATCCCTTTCAGCGTTCGTTTCAACGTTTGTTTGCTTTCAGTAGCTAAAGTACTTTCAATTTGTTAAATAGTTCGGGATATCTAAAAAAAAATTAAATTATTTATTCAGTCGTGAAACGGATGAAATGTTTTGTTAGAATTTACAGACGAACCACCAGTCAGCAATTGGAAGGTGGTGGTTTAAATGCCTCTTGTGTTTTCCATAACGATGAAAGCTTTCGTTCACTGGTGGAAAAGATTCAACAACATTATTGTTTAGCTAAAGATGAGTGCATTAAGTTGCTACGCGAGGTAAATTTAAATCAACTTCACTAATTCGGAAATTTTGCGAAACTTGTAAAAATATAGCCAATAATTTCTGTTGAAATTTTGTTGCTGCGTAAAAAGCAATAGTTCAGTTTCAATTTTAATGCACTACTGTTTCGTTTCATATTTTCTTCTGGAGAAGGAAAATAGCAAGCTTCATATACTTCAAGCGTTGAGTTAAAATTAATTAATTTATTTATTCATTCATTTATTTTTTGGAGTGCACGTAATAAAATATTTGCACAATATTTATTATAAATCGAAAAAGAAGTTTGCAAATATGAATTTACTGTCTCTATTTGTTTGTTTAGTAAAGTGAAATTGGATTTTGATTGGGAAAAGATACAACTTAAAAAGAGCTTGAAATCATTATTTTTAGCTGCTTCTCGGTAATGATCGAGCAGAAGCAGCTTCAGCCTTATATGAATTGCTTGACCGTGCACCGCTTATAAGTTGCTCTTTAGTAAGACAGGTATGTTACGCGTAATATATTAAATGTGTTAAATGGAAATTGTGAGAAATATTGAAAACTTATTGAAAGAGATATGTTTTATGGGATTGGTTGTGCTGAAAAGTTTAACGGTTGCGTAGAAGGGATTTAATACGTTTCTGATATATTTAAGTAACTTTCGGTGCATGCGTTTTTGATGTATTGCATAATATACTCTAAAAAAATAATAAGCGTATGCAAATTTAGATTCTGTATCGTGTAAAACAACTCTGTTACAAAAATGATAAACCCGATAAAATGAATCAGCAGCTGTTACGGAATATGCGTGTACATGAATATGTTCTTGGATTTCTCTCCGTTCCATACGACGAAGTTAGCTTCTAAAACTTTTCTATCAAAGGAATAAAGAAATTCAACTGCATCTTTTCTAAATATTAGAAACGATCTTTTAGCAGAAGAGAAAAAAACGTTGACAATTAGCGCTTTTTGTAAAATTTGAAGCTATTGTGATTGTAGAAAAATAATACGGAAATGCCAAAACTTGTCACACTCAGCCATGAATTCTTGCGAAGTTTTTGCCGCAGTAATATTGAGAATCAGTTTCGTTTGTACAAGCATATTTCTATCGAACAAGATGCGAAAGAAGGATTTTTAAGAGTGAATACGGTAAAATTCGATTTTGTGATTTTAAATCTGCTTGATTTGTTGATAGGTCATCCCATTACTTTGATGAAAGTTGGTTTGATGACTGGTATAATTTTCGTCACGGATCAAGACGTAGTAATAGAGAAATTGTAGAGGAAATTCAACTGGCTTACTCTACGACTCCAGGAACGGTATTTCCTAAAATCTCATCTGAAACATGTTGCGGTAAGGTAATATGGTGTGTTTTCTCATAATAGCTCTGAAACGTGCTTCATGGCTTGTTAAAATGTAAATTGGGGATTGCTTAGCACTTCAAATTACATTAGTCTTACCAAACAGTGAAAGTTTCATGAGTCTCATGATCTTCAGATGGAAGAAGTTGCAACACTGACAGCAATTTTCAAAAACAATCGTGTACTGTGTCAAAATGTATCCGAAGAGCTTGTTGCGCATATTGTAAGTATGATTGAACACAAAACTCGCAGCGCCGTATACATAGAATTCTTGCAAACTGTCGTCATGGTGCAAGAAAAAGAAATCAAGTCGGCTCAAGAAAGAGTAGCTCAAGAGGTAGCTTTCAAGAATTCTCTCGTTCTTGGTATTAGTTAAAGGTGGGTAAACATTCTCTATGCACGTCATACGTCATATCGTAATTTAATGTGAATTAGCACGGTAACAATGCTAACAGATCATACAATTATTATTTTCCATCAATTTTTTAATGGATTAATTATATGACAGTAGTCATAGTATCGAAAATCAAAATCGGAGAACGTTTTCATTCCAGATCTGTTCGTCTTCTGATGATGTACGAGTATATTATGCAGACAGTGCAAGTTTCGAGCAGTTGAAGCAACTAATGCAAAATACAGGTCCAGAGGAGCTAAATTCCGATCATCCACTACGTTATCACATCGACCTGGTACGGTACGTATATTAATTCAGATAGCTCACAGCTCCATTAATAAGAACCTAGTAAATGAGTCTGATTGAAGTGAGCCTAGAGAGGTATTTTATCATTATTGCTGTTTGCTATACGAAAAGTAACTGTTTGTGCAAACATTTTGTTATTAAGCATATGCTTAATGTTTTTATATCGATAATTTAGGCTTCTCGCTTTCTGCACGCGTGGAAGAAACAGCATGACGGAACTAAAGTGCGCTTCCCAGCTTTCTATGGATCATATCGTGCGCGTTGTAACGTCACCTTATTGTTTAATAGAGGTTTATTTGTTCCCATTTGCTATTTAGTAAGTTTTTTTACACTTCTGAATTTTTATACTAACTCTATGGTGGCTGAAAGACATCCATGGAAAGAAATTCATCAACTCGACCAATTTTTCATCATGGACAAATCAGAATGAAAGTATGAGACAGGAGCATGAGACCAAAACGACCTAAGCATAACTGAGGTTGACCTGCTATCAAATATCGATGCATTGAGAATATCTCAGGGTTTATCCGATGTAATCGTAAGCCAGAACAACAAAGATAACTGAGAAAGCATAAGCATATCAAAAAGGGCTTAAGCTTATTTAACATTCAAAGAAATGGACATAGATAAAGGCGTACGATGATTTAATTTACCTAATTATCCAACTAGAATACGATCTATGCACAAGATATAGATAACAAAATCACTATCTTTGTGAATATTGCAAACATTAGTGCAATAATATTCATTCTATTAAAAGTTGTTCATAAGTTTGACTAAATAAATCTAATATTTCAGAAATAGAAGCCGTGTGTTTTATTTTTGACGCCATAGAAAGACTTAATCTATTCAAGCATAGGTTAAAAAAATATTTTATTGATGCGCTTGTTTTAACCATTCTTTGTAAACATTTAAAGTTAAAGTGATGTTGTTACTATAGGTGAAAGATGTGTACCTGCAATTCATGTTGCACTGTTATATAGATGCGGATGCGGAAATGAAAGACGTTGATAACGTTGATTTCATTGAAAGAATTCTGAAAAATATTCTTAGTGATATAGAGATGTATGTCAACAGTTTACTGCAGGTTTTTGTAATCTTTAATTTTTTATTTTGAAATAGCGTATCTAGATTTAAGTCCGCCTCAAGACTTGAAAGCTCTCCAGACTTTTGGATACGATTTAAAGATTTGTACCAATAAAATCTTCATCAAACTTTGCAAGCTATGGTAGGATCTCATTAGCATTCGCTTTCCAAAAATATCTGTGGTTAATATGGAAGAAGACTTGGGAACTACCAATAGTTTCAAGAGACGGTTATTTCTAAGTTTAGCTATACAGTTAATCTCCGCTTTCTTTTGAAAGTTTTACACACATAAATGATAAGGATAGATATTTTTAGCTGAAGATGGCGAAGCCTGCTTTGTTGCCTAATTCAGCACTTGAGAAATACGTTTGTCAGACTGTTACTGCAGTATTAATTAAACTATTCGAAAGACCTTCAGCTCATCAGTTAATATTGGAAATTTCGGTAGATTTTTTTTGCATATTTGTTTGAAATTTTCGGTTTAATTATTATTAAATTCATTTTGATAAGATAATATTCAATCAAAAATTATGCATACTAAGCAGTCAAAGCTCTGTATTGTTTTTCATTTCCAGTGATATTTTCTAGAACTGTGCTTAATCTGTAAGTAGCTTCTTTTTGTTTTTTCAATTTTAGCAACACCGTCATTCTTTTTCCAAAATAATTCAAAGGCTTCGTCAGTTGCAAGAAGAATTAGAAAATAAAAGTTTTATTAAAAATTGGTATTATGTTGCAGAATGTGTTAAACGACTTAGTAGACGTGGTTAGCTTATTCATATTGTTAACAGTTTCTACATTTAGCACAAATTTTATGTTTCATTTTCGTTTTTCTTTTCACATTTAGCGAAAATAACATTGATCTATCTATAATTGTTGTAGAGACACATGGACTTATGCATCTAATTATCCTACGCCTTCAAAATTTCAAGATTGTAATGGATTCTTAAGTGTATTCGGAAATTCATTGCTGTCTCAATTATCAATTCTAGCTGAAGAAAATGGAATTATATTACCAGTTAATGGTAGCATGTCACCACTATCTACTGAAACAACTGTTAAACAACGTTGGCAGTCAGCTTTTAATTCAGCTCGTTTTATCAATCAAGCAAATAAGCGGACCAAAGCTCGTTTGTACGTACCACATTACGTACAAGTTATCGAAGGTTTTAGTGATGTTGTTTCATGCTATCAGGTTTGTCCTGGTTGTCATTTATTGTACATTAGGCATAACCAAAGGCAACTCATGTACAAGTTCACTCGTCAATTCAGTATACTAGCTAAGAAGTTTAGTTGAAGCTTAATTGCTTAGAAGTTTAGTTGACACTGTTTTTAGAAGTTTTAGAAGTCTAGTTGACATTGTTTCCTTCAGTGTTTCATAATTGATATCTGCTTATCTGCTATTTCACTTGGTTTAGGTTATCATATCTTAATTATATTTGTATAACATAACATTATGTATTGGAAAGCCGAAAAGGAAGTTTTCTTCAATGTGCGTTTTTAAAATATTTTAAATAATTTCGTGCTTGTAGGCGATGACTGTTGAATTTAAGAAGTTTGCGCTGCCACTGCAAGCAGCCGAAACATCAGTGCTTGTGGACGTCTTGCATGCTCCCGAAAGATTATTTTCTCCTGGTTCTGATTTATATCAGGAATGCGAAAATGGCGGAGTCATTACGAAGTAATATCAGATTTTCGGTCATTTTTATTTGCTTATGTAGATCATAAGTGAACTTATGGAATGCACTTTAAACAACATGAGCTGCTATTTGTAGGTGTATGCTACAGTGACTTGTTTTTCATTGAATCCTATCAAATATCTCTATTTTGAAACCTTTGATTCGAACGTAAATAGACTTACGGACATTATATGGGTTTGGATGTGCTGTAATCATAGCCATATTGAGTTGCAACTCCGCACAATGAAAAAAAAACAAATGTGCTAGATGCACTAAAATTTTCTCGATCTACCTATTTCCAGTCTTTATTTATCGTTTCTGATAATTATACTTCACACATCATTTTAGCTTTTTGCTAACTTTGAACGCTAATCCATTGGAATCAAATTTTAGGTTGATACAGCATTGCAAATCACTTTTACAACATGGGCAGGAAGCTCTGTGTGTACGAGTGTTGCAGACACTTTGTCGGATGGCTTCCGACAATAAATACAAATTTATCAATCAGGTATGATCTCCATCCCTGAATAATTAAATAAATCATTAGAGAACCAGATTAGCGAGTTGCAGTTTCATATGAATGTTTTGTTAAATATGGCGAATGTATTACTTTATGATTTTTTTCATTTTCAGTTTCACTGCTTATTAATTGTTATTTAAACGGTTTAATATTATCAGCATTACGAGACTCAGGATTTATAATTTCGTAGTAAAGCTATTATTCAGATGTATGACCGTATAATTAACTAAATCAAAATATTTATTACCTATTCGCTGATGGTTTCGGATTCACTTTTACTTTTACCGTGTAATGAAAAGCGATAAATTTATTTTCTGTACCGTTTTATGCTTTTCTTTTGAATCAGTGACGGTTATGAAGGCGACCATGAAAATTGCCACAGAAAGAAATGTATATGTTTCTGCTTCATAGCGGACCTTTCGCATTAACCTTGTTAAATGTTTAGAGCAATTTCGCAGAGTGGGAATTATTTGAAAAAATACTGATATATAGAAATAAGAAATATTGATTTCAGCAGGCTTTTCTCTTTTGTATGGTTTTAGTTGAATGTCTGAAAATCGTTTATTTTAATGCAACAAATTAAATTCGTTTCTTGTTTCTCAATTGATTGAAACTGTTAATTTTGCATGCTTGACTTGAATTAAAATGTTATCAGTTTCAGGCACTGGTACTAATATAGAACTTCCTAAAATATGTAAAACCTGTAGTATTCAGGGGCATTTTTATATAAAGATGAGGTTATTAATGAGTTAGGGTTCATTCTGGTACATAAAGAGTAGAAGAAAAAGAATAAGTTTTCCAGTTCAAGATTTTATATAATGTTGCTAGACATTTTTCACTTCTAGTAAATTTTACTCCAAATGTATTGGCGTTTTACTGTGCGTGTAAAAATTATTTCATTGATATAAGTGGAAAACAGTTTTTCTGTTCAATTCATGAATTCAATGCATGCAGTTTTAGGCAAGGGAAGTGCGAATTCGTTTGCTCAAGCGATATTTTGGTGCTGATGTCCTGTGTAGCGCGGATAGACAAACTACAAAACTAGAAAACAACGGTATTCCGAAAATTGCTTATGTAAAGTGTTTTTATGTGTGCTTGCACTTTTTCCGGATAAGAATAGGTTACAGATTGTTTTGAATTGGCAAGTTGCAAGATAACTCACGAATTAACTCAATTCGAGCTAAACACAATTCATTTTTGTGTTTGTATCCTCGGCTTACATTTTCAGAGTGCGAATTTGGAAATGAATTAAAACCAATTAAGGAACTATCATTATATGATGTGCAATGTAAATTGGACAATGCTGGTGCTATCGGTATGTACTTCCGATCTTTAAAAATTTGTGAATAAACTGATTATTACGGAGTTGGCGAGCTCATAAATATCCAGTGCTAATATGTTAATGTGTTAATTTTCTTGCGTATAGGCGCTCGGCTTCTTGATCTGCAAGCATCTGAAAATCCTCTTTCTTTGCAAGTTGACACAAAGATCATTTATTGTTTCCAGCGTCAACCTGACCTGGGTAAAAGTGGTATCAAAGGTAGATGGCAAAGGGTAAATGCAAGAAAACACACAAAAATGATTTTGATGCACCCAAGTCATTCCAGTTTTATGTTTTGTGCATTTTTTGACAGGAGTATTAATAGTTTTGCATTGTTTTCAACTTTTTTTCCTTTACTTTGTTTTTGTAACTTTCATGTCGTATTAATGATGTTTCACATTACTGATAACAGCTGCCATAAATAAGATTTAAAGGAGTATGAGGGTACCATAAGAAATCAATTTATCAGGGATAAATAATGTAATTATTCAATAGTCTCAAAGTTACTGAAATTGGACGTTAATGAAAATGCATAAAATGCTGGGAATTTGCATTTATTTATTTTCTATGTAGAATAATTATACAGCCTTTATTCGTTATAATTATTGTTTATAAATCAAAAAAGGATATTTTCAGACTTAATAATTGATTTGATTATGGGAGAACCGAATCATGAAGTTTTCTTAATGATAATCCAGCTTTCAAAGGCACTTCTTCACGAAGGAAATTATGAGGTCTAATTTTTTGGATATCTTATTATTTACGATGTTCGATCTTAACTTATTATTCATTATTGCATATTTTTCTGATATCGAGTTTAACGTAAATATTAAATTATTTTTAGGTTTCGCAAGTTTCTATGACAAATGTAGATGATCTTGGAACGATTAAATTTTAGGTGCAGATGTCATTTTATACTCGATTAAAAGAACAGAATTTGTCGGAGGCGTTTTTCAACGCTCTCAAGACGAAATTGCAAGTTGCACAAAATAGGCTGAAAAGTGATATGATGGCTTGCAACGATTCACGTCAACGACACTGTATGATATCGAAAATATCTCCCTGTCGATTTCATGAGCCATATCACAGAAAAGTTCTGAAAAATTATGCTATAAGTAGCGATGGTCATCATCGCATATCAAAACTGAATTTTCTAATAAAAAAAAAAAACTGAATTTTTTTTTCTAATAACGACTAAATTCTTTTTTTGTAGTACTGTCATTTTCAAAAATTACATTTATTCTTTTTCAGCAATGTCTAATTCAGTCAGTGGGCGTTGTAAGTTCTCTTACATGCTGTAGCGAACATTTCTGATCGTATTTTCCGCTGTTGAGAAATTCAAAAAATGAACGATTGCTGGTGATTACAATTGTAGAGAATGTATAGCACATTCCAAAAGCATAGTTCCTTTTCGTAATTCTATTAGATTCTAGATTTTTATAAAATTTTGTTTTTTACCCATGTTATATACCAATTTATTTTATTATGTCTCAGTGTCAATTCATTAATAGCATCAGTGATGAATTCTCCACTCCCAGAAGAATCAACATGCAGTCCGAAAGAACTGAAGTTAATTAATTCGATCGAATTAACTGCTTCATTATCAGCTATTCCAGATGGTTATCTTCCTGGATTGTTTAATCCCGATGTCAACTTAAATTTTTGGGATGATAAGTGGGTTCATTTTAAATGTTATTTGTACATTTTGGGCAGTAAGCTAGCAAATAGTTTAAGTGTGACTTCAGTGATGAGGAAGGTAAAGGAAAGGAGTTTACTGCAAAAAGCAAGCGGTTTTCTTTTAAAATTTACTTGCTACAAATTTGTATGCTTAGAGAGAGCATTTTGGAAGTGATAGCAATTGCTCAGGATTTGTAGCCTTAAAACTTGACAGTCTTCGTAATTTCCAATATTTTTTTATGCATGTCAATTTTCAGAAAGATGCTCCTTCCTCAAGAAATTGCCCTTATTGAACCAATTTTGCGTTTTCTGCAACTGCTATGTGAAAATCATAATTTGGTGTTGCAAGTTAGTAATCAATAATTCATTTCTACATAAAATTCCATGAAGTATACCAGTGATTTTTTAATAGCTGGATTATTCTAGAATTTCTTGCGGTATCAAGGCAGTCGTCAGAATTGTAATTTGGTTGACGAAATACTTATGTTCCTTGACGTTATTTGCGGTAGCACTAAAGGTTTTTTCTATCTTATTTATTTTGTAGGCTTTTTGATTAGAATTTTCCCTTTCCTTGTCTGCAATGTTGAACAATTTAAAAATGTTCGCATAAGAAAATTTACAGGATGCCTAGGTGTATTTCGTGAAATAAACGAACACAATTTCTCACTGATTACTCAGACACTGGTCACACTGACGGAATTTTGTCAGGGTCCTTGTCATGAAAATCAAGTAATGTATTTTTTATTCCGCATTCGTTATTATAAAAGAAATTTTGGATGCATCAACATGAAACTGGCATTGTCATCATCACCACTGAGATTCCGCTTTTGGTTTCCTTAGGTTTTTTTATAAATACTTCTATTCAACCAGGAAAGCATTTGAAGTGAAGAGTACATATTTTCCAGAATACAGTTGGTAATCATGAATCTGGACTTAATATGATAATATCTTTGGTGCTGAATGAAATCGAACCACTTTGTTTAACCCATATGGATTTAGCACTTGAAATAAAGGCGAGTGGATACAATTTTCCTTACGATTTTTTTGAACATTATGTTTCAACTTTAAAACGAGAAGGATTTGTGAAAGAAATTAAAAGGAAAGCTAACAATTGAATTAAATGAAATTAGCGGTATTCATTGTTTGAATTTAATTTAATAGAAGACTATGATTTTAAAATCTCGAATATCTTGTTTTAGAGCGCTGCATCGAAGCTATTATTGGCTGTCATGGAATCACGTCGTGATGCCGATAATGCAGAACGTGTGCTCATGATTATGAATCATATGGCCAATGGAGCGAAACAGTTGGTAAGCTTATGATAAGCTTCATTGCTGACCAAATAAAGATAGATATTTCATCTATAATTCTTTCCAGTAAAAATATGAACTCATTAAGACAAGTGAATTGAAGCTGTATTCTTCATTTTGAAGCTGTAAAACGAACGTCGGGTAAAAAGTGTATTAATGTAATTTACAAAATATCTTCATATTCTTTTGCTTTTCAGGATTTCATCAGTTTCTAGCCTTATTGCTTAAGCTCTATTTATTCTATAGCTATTTCGGCAGATGTTTCAAAATAGTCTTATTAGAGTTCAGCTTCATCTCTTAAAAATCTAAAGTTTTAAGATTCAAGCAATCAAAATGGCATATGAGATGTCGGAATTGAAGGAGTTTGCAATGTCAAAAGCAAGGAAGAGTCTTGAAGTTCGTTAAAATTTTGTTTATTTCACTGGAATTCACGTAACTTGTGCCTTTATATTAGAAATGTGATTCTGTCAGATTCTCTCCGTGATAATTATTTGTTTCGTACATATACGTCGGGAGAGGAGAAATATTGTGTATCAACTCCATATGAAATAGTAAACCATCTGAGCTGGTATTTCGAAAGATAAATTCCTTTTTACTTTTCTAATCTTACGATCATTAGAAAATGGACCACTAATCAGCAAAACAAGACAGATATAGTAAATGATTTTTAAATTTTTCAGACAAATTGTTCATTGATAAAATCGAAGCCTATAATAAATGTGCCAGATATTGCTATTCATGATAATATCATTGCATCGTATTCATCTTCCCATATAACTCTTGTCGATCCGCAAGAGGTGTTTTTGTTATTTTACTTAATTTCTTCTGTTTCGTAAAGGTTCCACTTTTTTCTTGATATGTGTTTTCATATATCACTATTAGTGTTTCCTTACTGGTTTTTCTTTATTAGGTCGGACATAATATCTTCATTCTTGCTACGCAGCTTTCGCGATTCAATGAAACACTTCGAGAGGCTTTAGATCCTGAAAATAATAAAGATGAAATGACTTCGAAGGCTTTGCGGTATTACAAACAGTATACTGCACAAATTGAGGTTTGAAGTCGAAAATTCGATTTGAATTGGAAGAAATCAAATAACAATAGTATTGTGATATAATTCCTGAAATATCTCTGCTTTATTCAACAGCGTAAAACGCATAGTCAGAGGAGAATAGATTTGATACCATATTAATGAGCGTCAAAGAATAAAGTGGAAAACTTCTGTAAAATTGTAATTTATCTATATGGTAATGGTGATACAGTTGTGGGTTAAACTTCATTTTATCATCAGAGGAAAAAAACTGTCAATGATTTCTAATTCTGGATAATATGACGTATGAAATGCTGATGATGTATCAGTGATTATAAAGGCTAGGTATCAGTGAATAATAGAGAATAAAAAATTTTGTTTACATATTTGAAAATGAGGACGTTTTAGATAGTTCGCAGTGATCGTAAAATGGAACGAGTAATATTCCCAATACATTCTATATGTGAATATCTTACACCAGAATCAAAGCTAAACATTTTGCTGGAAACCGAACAAGATGCTCAAGGATCTAAGGTTTTTTAATGTTGTTTATGGATTATTTTATTTTACTCATCCTTTCATTTTCCTGTTTTGGGTTGGAGCTATGATTAGTAAATACATGCTATACAATAAATATCGAAATGAACTAAATGCATTAGTAGCATATTCAGTAATGCTTATGTATTTTTATAGGTAACAGAATTTTTCGGCCAGTGGACGGAACTTTTCGAGGAGATGAAGTGGCAAAAAAAACTTCAAGGTAAGTGTGAAAATCCTGCGCAGTTTGATATTTTCTATTGCTGGTTCTGGTCAGTGATTTCAAAAATTTCAGATCGAAAGTACTTCAGTAATTGTACAAAACGACTGATACTATGGGCCAGGATATCATTCTTTTTTGCTATTTTGACCAATTCAGTCATTGCAATATTTTATCCCTTTTCAGGAAATAGTAGACAAGGTGCAGTTTATTACATTATTATAATTGTTTGATATTGTCTTGAGGATCTTAAATTGATTTTTAGTTCAAAACTGATATTTAATTGAGAACATTAAAACTTATCGGTCCGTCAATTCATTTTTTTGATGATTCAGTGTCAGGAGTTTTTAGGCTTACCGAACATGCAGATTTAATATTGTTTCAGTTCATTTAGAACTTACACAATTCGCTAATTTCCATTCATTTTCTAAATTCTGCTTGACCAAAGTTGAAGATGAAAGCTCTTGTGAATGTTGACTTATCAACTTGCTGTTTTATAGAAATCAGTAAAATACCGCACTTGATTTTTTTTTTGTCGTACAAAATTTTTCATTTTCAGAATTAATATCTCTGAGTAATCCATTTCTGTATGTATTTCCTATGGTATCGTTGTTGTTTTTGCGAACGCAATGGAGTGAAAAGTATGAATTAGATGTCTGGAAGTATTAAGGGAAACACTGATCTAGTAATGTAAATCTCAAGTTTTTAGAACTTGATTTTAATTTTACAAACGAAAATGATAAACATTTATAGAGCTTCGCTCGGAAGAACTAATGACATTTATTGGGCGTTTGCTGCAATCATGTCAAGTTTTACGATTCTATGTATTGCGTTAACTGGGGTAGTGATAACGTTACGTATTATTGGTTTGCTTCAGGTAGGCTACTGCTGGAATCGACTTGGCACCAAAAGACTTCACAATCATTTTTCAAAATCATTTTAGCGCTCTTTGTGAGATTGTAAACTGTATGCGGGATCTTGCATGAGTGCCCTGAAATAAAATGGAAAAGTTGCTTAATTTAAAATTTGATTGAAAGAGTTTTTGATTTACAAATTTTCTGAATTTCAAAGGGATTAATTTTACAGTCCTGTCATTTCGTAAATTTTATTTGAGAGACTCTCCTCATCATAATGTTTGGTGAAAAAAAAAGTTTTCCAAACGAGAAGCAAATTTCAGTTGATTAATAAAGGAGTCCATGTAGTAAGCTATGTAGGCAATCGTGGTTTAATTGATAAAACATGGCCTGAACGACTTCAAGACAAGAGCATCTGCTATCATCTGGCATATTTATTAATATGTATTGGAGGTCTCTTTGTGCATCCGTTCTTTTATGCTTTACTTGTAAGTCTTTTTTTAGTTCTTCATGTTTGAAATATTTGTCAACTGTCTCAGCACTTCTGCGTAACTTTGCATAAATTCATTTTATTTTTTATGCTTTCAAGCGATGATTTAATTTCAGTTTTGAAAACCAAAAGCTGTCTCAACTCTGTACCATCCTTAATTTTTTAGGTTAAACTGCTGTCCAAATTCCTTCTGAATGTGAAACTTGCATGCCAAAGTTTTTCAGCTATTTGATATTGTAGCAAGTGAGGAAACCTTGCGAAATGTGATTCGATCTGTAACGCGGAATTGGCGATCAATTATAATGACTGGTTTATTGGCTGTCATACTTGTTTATCTCTTTTCAATCATTGGATATTTGTATTTTCAAAAAGGTAACATTTTACTGATCAAAAATAGTGGTTTCGAGGAAGCAATAATCAGAAAATGGATAGAACCTTTGTGTTCATTGTAAATACGTTTATTGCATTTTCAGATTTTCAGTTGGAAATTGATGAACTAGACAGCGATGAAAAAGATAATACTGTATGCGAAAATCTTCCATCCACGAAGTGTACTCTTTCGTATCCCTTCATTTCCAAGCAGTACATCAACGAAAACAAGTGTTTCGAAATGGAAAACTCGCAAAGTAATCAGCCCATTGACAGTAGTGAGTTTGCATTCTGCATATATTCATTTAATTTGTTTATAAATGTAAACAATTATTGAAATTCTGTCTTTTAAACTACCAGTTACGTTGCGAACAATTACAAATTTTCCTCCTATCTCGTCACTGATATTTCATTTTTCGAAACAAGATACTGTTGTTAACCTATTAGTAGAATATTACAGGACCACTTGAATTTTAAAAGTTATTGCAAACTCGGTTTCAGAAATACACTTCTGCTAACATATTTCAAATTCTTAAGTTCAGTAAGACTTGAAGTAAAGATGAAGCAGTATTTTGAATTAAGAAATTGCACCACTCTTTTTAGAAGGTAAATTAAAAGTATGGTCATGCCAAACCTTGCGCATGTGTATTCTAACAACGTTAAATTGGGGTCTTCGAAATGGAGGTGGTATTGGCGATGTGCTTCGAGATGTCGCACCGCATGTATAACTTTTACATTCAAATAGGAATATAATAATACATATCTGACAGTAATTGCTACCGTACGTGACAGCAAAAATTTTGAGACTGTAACAGGATGACAGTGGTATTACTATGCCTTGAGATACGGTAAATGGCTGTCATGTTTATAGCAACAGTATTGAAATTTAGTGACTGCAGTACTCATTGCCAGTTCATTATGAACTCATATCAGACTACTTATTTTATCTTCCTATATTTTGGGTAAATTAGTTAAGGTTTATGTTGTAGGTAGAATTGCTTGCAGAAACCATTTTAGTTTGTATTTTGATTAATTGAATATTAAGTTATGAGAGTTGTTAATAAAGAGCGTGACAGAATAATTAGGATTTTTTTATATTAACAAGAGCAAGAAGCAAAAGGAGTTAAAAATTATCTGTCAAGGAGGAATCGTTTTTATCTCGGATCGTTTATGATTTGACATTCTTTATCGTAATCATTGTTATCGTGCTCAATCTGGTATTTGGTGTGATCATCGATACATTTGGTGACTTGAGAGCTGAAAGAAATGAAAAAGTTGATCAACTGAAAAATAATTGTTTCATTTGTGGTCTTGGAAGAGGAAGGTTGGCTTCATCTTTCCGTAAAATTTGGATATTTTTTCTAATTTTCCATTTAATCTTGCGGACAGGAAACAAACGAAAGATTGGGAGAAGGAAAGGGATGAGATAGGGAAATCATTTCTCAAATAATTCTTTTATACTTTCAGTACCACTTAAATTAATTCAGATTTGACAATAAAATTGTAACTTTCGAAGAGCACCGAAAAAATGAACATAATCTTTATCATTATCTATATTTTATTGTGTGGTTACAAGTAAAGGATGAGATGGAATTTACCGGTCCTGAAAGTTATGTCGCAAATTGTATTAAGGTAAATTTTTGAATGGTAGTTATTTAAATTCTTACTTGTTACAAGATTTTTATAACTTGATTTTATCATCGTAGTAGTCAAGATTACTTTTTCATATTTAATCGGATTTATGTAACATAAGGAATTCGGAAATATCATATTGTTTAGGAGCATAAAAGTGACTGGTTTCCTCGAATGCAAGCAATGTCGTTGGCTGAGGATAATCAAGAAGCGGAACAAACCGATGAAATTACCGAAATTCATGACTCATTGAATAAATTACTGGATATTATGAAAGAACAAGGACGACAACTTGAAGAGCTGAAACAAGTGATAGATGTTTTATGAAGCATTGGGGATGGAGGGGGAAGGGGAGATTAAGAGTTATATTGTCACGAATATGGTGCTTTAAAATGTTTTGAATTCTCCGTAAAATTTCCTCTCGTTGCTTTGTTAACAAAATGAAATGATATAATCTCATGAGAAGAGGATAATTCAATATATTTGATTTTTTCTATCTCAATAGCAAAGACATTTTTTATGCAGAAATCATGCAGAGCATACCAGCTAAAGTTCTTGAGGTAAAAAAATTGAGGCCCACACTTGAAAGCAACCATAATATTTGTCTTGTAGTGAACAAGATTTTCTAATGAACAAATAAGAGTTGTATGGATTTGAATAAAAGGTTTACTTCTTACTAAGAAGATAACAGTTTTCTCGTATTTCAGTTAGGAGCGCCCTAAGCATTAATTGACTTATTGGTTTGCCCTTCGTTCAAACCCGAATTTAGAATACTTTAAAATTCTTGCCCTTTTCAAGATTATTATTTTCAAGCTAACAAACATACTAGCATTTATTAAACATTTAAAAAATTTTTACTTCAATGTGGTTGAAATTGCAGGTGCTGTACAATCAGAATGCTTTGCAGTTGGTGACACCGCAACTACACTATAAATGAACTCATTAGAATTCAAATTCTTCGAATATATACGATTGGCTATCTTCCCCAAAACACTCATTTGCTTGCTGTGATATTTTCAAATTTCAGTTTTTCTCTTTGCATCATTATTTTGATTTTTGAATCTCTTTCATTGTTGAATTATTCCCAGTCCAATACAGGTCCATTATACTCCGATAAACTGGTTGAGTATGTAAATAAATTTCACCATGCTTATTAAATCCTTATTAATTCACTGAAGATTCCTAGCAAAATCTTCGTACAAGGCAATTAAAGTATGCTATAAAATCACTGAATATTTGATCCAACTGGATTGGTTATCACTAGTTACGTGGAATTACTAACCTCTACACTGACAATTATGATTCGTTTTAACTTCTTGCTTTGTACATAATTCTTTGTGTTGTGTCATTATATCAAGTACTGAAGATTGCACGCGAGATATATTTATAAAAACCTCCCATCTTTACTCCTTCCTCAAACTATTTTCCTTTCAATGTTGTCTTGCGAGATTCTTTTTTTCTTTGAGGATTGTATACAAGTAGAGACAGAGAATCCTGTATTGCTTCGATAATCCAGACAGTATTTACTGGGCACTTATGATTGAAAATAGCGCAACTGAAGTGATTAGATTTTAAGCAATTAAACATAATGTGTGGAGAACTTCTAGAAGAGATTCACTTTATTGGGGAAAATTCGAGCTGTTTGGGGTTGACGAAGCCGACCGACAATAGCGTCTTTGGGACTGCCATGAAAATTGGGTATAACGGCGCCGCGTTACAAAGATTATCACATTTCTTTGAAAAACGCTTGCGCGATGTAAATAAATTAAGGATTTCATCCGTTCTTTTTCGTCAAACTTGAGTCGCAAATCGAGTCATTAACCTTAGCATTATGTACTCAGCCTGTTGCTGCAGTTATTCATAACAGTATTTTTCATATTCTTAGTGTTGCTTTTTCAAACTTTTTAAGCTTTTCTGGTTTTTTAGCGGTGAAAGGCAGTATGATTACTGAATATAATTTGAGTGAGGTGGACTAGGAAGTTTGACATTTTCACTTTAATTGTTTCTGGATTGATTGAAATGATTAGGAGTTCCAGAAATTTCCTTTTGATCACAAAACTGGAATCATATTTGCCATCAGGATTGTTGGTCTGGAAATCACAATGGTATTGCTAGCAACTTTATTTCCTTCGTATTGTACTAAACTGTAATAAAAATTTTCAGTATATTCAAGGGGTGAAAATGTCGACACCTTGGATATTTAAAAAACTTTTCGCCGTGGCTGGCGGAGCAACAGCAACCGTTTTAGTTGTGACGTATGTAAGTCAATTATTCCAAATTAAATGAAGGGAATTTGTTAAGCAGTAGAAAGACTTTTATGGGAAATTTTTTTTCTTGATATGTATTTTACCTGCGTCAGGTATTCTTTGTTGTTGCTAAAGATATCTCCCTATATATATATATATTCATACTGAATTTTAATATATTATATACGTATTTATGATTTGTATCCTTGCTAGCAATACTTCTTTAGACTGGGCAACTTTATAAAATGAATTACCAGATCGATGAAGCAGATGCTTTTGCTATTCGGAAGATCAACGCAGCTTACGTAGAACTCCAAAAAGTATGTTATCGCTGTTTTTTTTTTATACATTCTGAAAATATGAGCAGTTTACAGGGAAAAGCATTTACTGATTTATTTAGCAACACCAGCTACATTTGTGAGAAGGAAAAGGAAGTAATAAGTTAAATAAGGTCATTAATTCTTAAAATTGGCTGCAATGTCTAAACTTGAAGACTTTTAGGATAAGAATTGTAATTCGTTGCTAAAGAAAAATTTGACACCTAAACTTTTACAAAAATTGGAAAACAAAAAGACAAAACTGGGTGCTTCTCTTTACGACATAATTCGTTCTGGTACGTTTTTTTCTCTTATTTTAATTACGGCAAACCCATCTATTTTCCTTTTCTGGATTAAGTAATTGCATTACTTTGTGCTGTACTAAGACTGTTCCATCTTCCTTTAGGTTTGCACAACCAGGCGATTGGTATATATGTACCGGATCCTGAATCTTATCACAAATTTGCTTCTCTTTTCGACAAAATTCTAGAGGATTACCATGGATTCAAATCAGGAGCAAAGCAACCAGCAGTTGATTTTGGAGAAAAAAAAATCAGCGAATTCTCATCTCTTGATCCTACTGGAAAATATGTCCACTCAGTTAGGTTAGGTTTCTCTCATTTATTCTTGTTTATTTATGCAGCAGTATGCTTTATCTGCGAAGTAATTCTTTTTTTACGCCTGTCTGTGTCACGCTTTCACAGAAGTCTGAAATCTGTCCAGTTAGATATCCTTTAATTAAAGTTTCATTTTAACTGGAAGTGTAGCACTTTTAAAACAAGAGAAAATTTCTTCCAGGATTCGCTGTGCTCGTTCTATTGCTGGTTATCCATTTAACCCACTTTTGAGTGCAGACGATTACATCATTCTGGAACAGAAGGTTGGTTCCAACTCTATGTCACTCCTCCCTAACCCAGAAATGGGTTCATGTTCTTGTATGATCGATCGTTTTGTTTATGAAATTCATGAAGTTTGACTCCTCATCGTTCATAGTTTAAGGTGAAAAATGCACTAATGCAAATCGAGGAATCTGAATTACGTGGAATCTATCATTCTCTGAATGGAATGTCGAAAAAAACGCAGGATGAACTTGGCAGTAAACAGCTTCTATTCAGTAACAATAGTTCTTTATTAAAACATTCAAATGCTTACAACGCCTGGCCAGAGGTACTGATTTTCTTTTTAACCGCTGTTTAAAATACTGATTATTTCGGTTTTTTTTGAACGTGTTATTAGGAAATGGGGTTATTTCTTTTTGTCATTAGTATAAACAAGTCGAACATGTGTCCGCAATAGCATAACTGCAAATTAGATTCAACTATGTTGAAACAATTTTCCGATGCTGCCACTTGGTTTTATTAATCAGTGGTTAAGATTCTGGAAGTTCAAATTTCCATGTCATGTTTTTTGCCCATTTGTTTCAGGGGCGTGGAATTTTCCACAACGAAGACAAATCTTTTTTGGTATGGGTTAATGAGGAAGATCATATTAGCATAATCTCGGTTGAAGAAGGAAGTGATGTTGGCAAGGCTCTTGCTCGCTTAATACGCGGTTTGAAGGTGGTTTTTATTTCTTAGAAAGGAAAGAAAATGGGGAAGTTCAAAATAGAGTGGCAGAATTGACTTATAACCCTCATTTTGCAGAACTTGGTTCGAGTCATCTTGCGAATGAAAGTTATTAAGACTATGTAGTGCTAAGGTAGTGTGATCCTTGCATTGTTGTTAATATTGCCAATTTGCTGACATGTTTATACAAAAATATTCATGCTTCCGAAGTATAACAAAACCTTGCACTGTGAAAATTGAGATTGCTCATCAGCCGTTTTCTTGAGCTTTTGCAGCATTTGCAATTTTAAAAGTTCATGTGTGGAAGTTCAAGGCACTGGAAGGAAAGCTAACGTTCGCTCGAGATAATCGACTTGGTTGGTTAACAGCAAACTCTAGCAATCTTGGTTCTGCAATTAACGCTTCAGTACAAATATGCTTGCCGAAACTGAGCAAAAAATCCGACTTTATGGTAAAGAAATATATTCTTCTGCATGAAGCTAGTCTTCCTTTTAATTATCATTTCAGTTTTATTTTGCTTAGAAATTTTGCATTTATAGTGACAATAATTTTTTTCTAGTTTGCCTTACTTCTTAATAATACACTTTTCTAGCTTCCGTGAGGGTAAAATTAAAGGCTTCACAACATAATTTCCATTTTTTTGCGATTAAAAACGTTCAACTCCGTTGTTATCGACTGAGATCTGGTAGAAATGATTCTTTGTGTTTGAGTTTTTATTTCATGTATTGGGTAAGTAAAGAAATATCCATTTTCGATTCTCTTGTAGGAAATATGCGAAAAGCTGAATTTGCGCATTAGTTCCGCAAATATTAATTCGTCTGGGCTATCGAATGAATACTATTTCATATCAAACAAGGTCCTTTTTTTCATTTTACTGTCTTTTTGAAAGTCATATTATTTAATTATTTTTATTTCTCGGTGTCATTGCTTATTTTACATTTTGTACACTTTGACTTCAATTGAGATGAGTATTTTTTCCTTTTTTTGCCGAAGTGCTGTTGAATCATTCATTTCATGAACAGTTATATAAGAAATAATCCATATATGTTAAGATATTTATTGAGCTGCTGAGGAATCTTTTCTTAAATTTCTTGATTGCACTCAGAATTTATCATATTTAGAAAAGCCTTGGTCTAACGGAGTATGAAGCAGTCAAACAAATGTACGATGGTATAAAAGAGCTAATTCGAATAGAGGAGCATTTATAAAAGTTTACGGTTCAATTCTTCCACCATTTGGAGCTCCGTTTGCTGCATGAATAATTCAGACTTTCTTTTGTAGGTAGAGTTCTATTCAAATTGACGTATGCAAATTAGTGCGTAGTGTTCTAAGTTAATTATATTATTAAACGCTCTTTGAACAGGGTTGCACTGAGTTACCACGGTTCTGAGAAACTGGAACTTATGCTTTCAAGATTTTCTCATCTTGTGACGAATGAAATTATTGCTATATCAATTTTTGTAAGTAATGATATTCAGCCATAATGTTTAGAATATTTCTAGCTTTTTGTTAAGAGTAAACGTTTATGACCGCATTTCCTATGTTGTTAGACTCTGATATGTTTATGCTTGCCTTCAAAATTATTGCTGTTCTGTTTCGAATATTCTCATATCATTGTCACAGTTTTGGAATGTGGGGAAATTCAAATAGAAGCGACTTATTTTTTCACTAGGTTAGGTTTAGCTGCGACCCTTGCAGTTTTTAGCAAAAGGGAGTGATGGGGCTTTTTTATGCAAGGATTTCTTCAGATTGCATTCATATAATTCACAGAGTGTTCAGACATTGTGCCAGTACTGCAGTAGATATGCACTGCTGACAAAGTCTTTGTTTTTGATATTATGGAATCTTGATATTTCTGTATAATATTTGTTGCAAAGGAGGATGCGATGTAAACCGAAACTTCTGTTTAAATTCTCGTGATCCGAAAAAAAAGTATTGAGATAAATAAATGAAAGCATGAAATAAACACGACACTGAGAATAAAAAAGAGAAAGTGAAGAAGATGGTTGCTTTGCTGAGAAGTCTGTATGGTCTGAACAAATGCGAAGTATGGAAGTGCATCGTCTGATGACGCGTTATTATTGAAAGGTACATGTGTGTAATGTGAAAATAACGGTTTTTTAAGAATATGTTAAGCGGGAGCTGTGGAACAAAACCACGTGCATAACGGAAACCATAAATGTGCTGTAGTAAAGAAGTATTAAACATTTCTCAGTAAATAGAATGTCATTACATGCCAGAGAGAAACCAAAAGAAAAGAAAAACAAGGGAGAAATGCTCTGTTTATATGTACGTCGACGCTCCGTTGTAAGTTAACGGTCATTTATAGCAGTATTTTTAAAATTCGCTGATATAACAGGGACTATGGTGATGTGATGTTAATTGTAATATCCTTGTGTTTTCAAATTAGTATGTTTTCTGTTTTCGATAGAATGCTTTGCCCTCCACTGCTTACTTTCCACTTCCGGAAAAAATGGATTTTACTGAATGACGGAATCTCAACTATGACGTTTTGAAACTACTGAAATGCAATTCCTGGTAAAGCGAGTCGCAACTTAACCCACTTATACTCAATCTCTGTCATGTGTAGATGGCAATAATTTTAAGTGTATGATAATGCTATGATATAAATATATATATATATATAACATTTCACCCATCAATAAGATAGTAACTTGCAATATTAGAAACACTGTTGTGCATTCTATCATGTGTACATAAACATGAGAAGGTAACATTCTGCGATGTTCTCTCAGGAATTGTTCGAGGAATAATGTCTTCCATCTTACGATTTTCTTACTATTTTCCCATTATTTCTCACTATGATCAACACTGTTCATCGTTCATACATTACTTACTGAATCAAGTAAGTTAATGACTTACTGAATCCTAATTTGCAAAAAGATAAATTCTGGGAAGATTCGAGATAGAACTAATTGATCCGATTGATTTAACAAATGACATTAATCATCACTTATCGATCCAACTATCTAAGAAATGTAAGTTTATTTTATTATTATGTTTCACATTACAATTATTTGACCATTCTTCTGAACAATTAGATGCAATTAAGATTAAATTCTCAATTCTTAAAGGAGGAGTTTGATTGCATTTGATTGCATTATTTAAGAAGACCCATTAAGATAAGATAGATTCTATACCGAAGTTGCATGACTAGATATGAAGTAGTTCATATTCATCGCTCTCTGATCTTTCTCACTAGTCAAATTTTAGCTTTGAAGTGCGGTTTATAATTTGTAAACATTTCTGCAGTATTTTGATGGAAGTATTTCTCTTGTATTTACATTTAGCTAATACATGCACATATAAGCATCAATGTGATCTCATAATGAGACAATTGGATCATCATATCAATAAAAAGGAAAGACATGTTTAAGCTTTAAAATTTTAAAGAAAAGTATGAAGGAAGTCGAGGTCCATTTGTCCAATCACAGAGGACCTTTTACCAAATATAAGGGAAAGTTAGCACGAACAAATGCTATTAGTTATAGACATGATAAATTTATCTTATTTTCATTTCAATTTCACTTCCTGAACACTGATATCTACTTTTATTTTTGGTGGCCATTTTTGCTAAAAGTATTTACAATAAAAAATGTAGAACTTCCTGCAGAACTTCGCGCGAGAATTCTTCTACTTATTGAAAATAGTGACAAAACAAAATTGAATGTGAAACAATTCCATGAAATATGAAATCGTTCTGTAAGTGTTTTGGTGAAGATACGAAATACATTAATTAAATTATTAAAAGAAATCCTTAAAACAGATATGAAAATAACCTAATCAAATACAGTCATTGCTTTAGTAATTTTTTAAAATGCTGAAATTCCAGCGATAAGCCTCATTCCACTAATTACTTCCTATCATTGGAAAATCTATTTCCTAATGGTTATCGTGTTGAAACAATGGCGGGAATTGAAAACAAGCTGGAGCTGAACGGAATTTAAAGTTACATTTCATGATGAAATCAAAATGCATCTGATTGATTGCAGGTAACTGTTGTCATATCGCAGTGTTTTTTTTCATTAAATCGTTGATGAGCCATTGGCATGATTTGTTGCTTTTGTTTAGCTCGGGACATGAACAATAATTCTATTTCTTCAATGTTGTAGCCCTTTGTTTCGGGTACGGCAAAGTAGAAAAAGATAAGCGCAATGCACGTGATACAACCATAGATGAAAAATGCACCTAAAATTGCCACTTTTAATAATATTTTGTATTTACCAAATTTTGACTTGTTTCAACTTAGTCAAAGCCAAACTTAATAAAAATGTAATTTCAAGTCAAATCTGTGGTATTGCAAATCATAGTACAACGCTTGTATGGTGCTCCCACAGTATTCTGAGAGATTTTCTTTTTCAGAATCTACAGAACTATTGTATTAAAATAAAGAAGAAGTGAACTAACCGTATTTAGTGGCAGTTTGCGTGAGGGATAAAAATGTTAAAGAAATAATCAAGTTAAATGTCCAATTGAAGCATGTTGACAATGCACAGCACGTACCTCGTGCCCAAAGTGGATAAAATTCCGCATTCAACACCCACGGCATTGGTGCATAACCTGAAATGAATAACTTGTTTGGAAATTCATTACTGGAGAATTGTCTCGTGAGACGCAAAAAAAATGAGGTTATACGCATTTACCTATACGGGGCATGCACTGAACGTCAGACATGCTAATAGACATGTTGGAGTAAATGATTGTTGATTACTAATGATTGATTTCACAAACTTTAAATTTAAGTTTCATCAAGAGCGGTGATTCATTTCATTTTAAACAATTTTAGATTTTTTAAATGGGAACTCATAAAGTTCATTTTTAGTTGATTATACCAATTGATCATAATATACTTATAAAGTATATTTATGCTCCATTCGGAATATTCAGAAGATTAGTGGTACACCAGAGTTCACTCAGAGCACCTATCTCTTTGTAATAGTATAAAGTTCAAAAAGTATCTTTCATAGAGTTTGAAATTTAAGGCAAACCGTACCAATAGAAAAGAATGCCAAGTAAAATACCATAACAGCAATTGGTATAAATGCATATTTTGATGGACAGAAAGAATTTTCCCATTTGATTGTTGTTACGCTACTGTTTTCACATGGACCAATCAGTGATCGCTCGGGAGATGCGCGTGAATATGGTAAACAATAGCTGAAAAGTATCTATATCAATTTTATGATAGTTGAAGAAATTACTATTTTGTCTTATTAAATTTCCGAAACAAAATTTGTCCCAGTAAAATATCAAGATAAAAATTATTGATACGCTTGCATATTGTGCTTGAATGTTTCAGTGACCTTAAATTGACATATTTTAGGTTAAAGAATATATCGGGATTTAGATTCAAGTTTTAATTGAGTTAAAAATTGAAAATTATAAAAAAGGAACCCTTCAGGTGAATCGAGATTGGGTTGGCAAAAGCCGCATTTTTCATCAGTGACGCAATGATCACAGTTGCTGCAAATATTATTGCTTTAAAAATATTAATTGATCATCGATTAAAGAAATATGCATTTTTATTTTGCGTTACTAAACTCCTATGGTAGAATTAAAAGTCAAAATCAATTTTTAGAATTAGGTTTTGAAAAGAACCTTAAGGCTCGACATTGCAAATAGTGATCCACAGAAGTGTTAAGAGCGATGGTGTTTGGATCTAGGGAAGCAGCTGAATCAAGATTTATTAATAGAAAAGCAACTCCCATAGCAAATAATGCCAATATTACACCAATCATTGATATAAACAACAGTAGCCGACGCCCAACGCGTTCTATTAGATTTAGTGGCACAAATGTGGCCAGGAAATTGACACCTGAAATAATTAGTTTTAAACATTTAAAATATACCTAAACAGTTATTTTATCGGGTTTACATTTTTTTTTAACTAATTAATTGGAAAATGTGAGTACTGGAAGTTGATTTCAAAATGTTATTACCAGCTGGATACTAATTAGTTCAGAATATTGAGAAGATGCCCGCTGCAAAACTTTATATTTTCGATTCTGTTTTCTTTCAAAGAAGGCCTGACAATAAAAGATATTAAGAATTATGGAAACTGAGGTCAGAAAATTCATAAAGACTTGACAATCATTTCAACAAAATGCTATGTATTTCAACAGACTTTATTTTTGTTGTGATGTGAAACCCAGACTATCTAAAATTTTTTGATTTCTCATGAACATAG